AAAAGAACTCCTGGGCCTTCAAAAATATGAGTAAATATATGGAGAAGATTTTATTCAAAATAAATTTATATTTTCTTAATGTTATATAATGATTAAAATATAAATCTTAAAATTATAGATGGTATGTGGGTGATATGTCTAGACAACGTGCGGAATCATTGCTTAAACAAGAAGATAAAGAAGGATGTTTTGTTGTACGTAATTCGTCTACCAAAGGACTGTACACGCTTTCCCTCTATACGAAAGTGTAAGTATTTTTACTTATATCATCATTATACTTTATTATAGGAAAAGGTCAATAAGAAGATACTATTGTAGCCCACATCCTCATGTAAAACATTATCACATCAAGCAAAACACCAGAGGAGAATTTTATCTATCTGAGAAACATTGCTGTGGTTCAATACCCGACTTGGTTAATTATCACAGACATAATAGCGGTGGATTAGCTAGCCGATTGAAAACTAGCCCTTGTGATCGCCCTGTACCACCAACTGCTGGCCTCAGTCATGGTTTGTAATCTTTTTGAGATCAAATTTTCAAAAAAGAATCTTTATTTTTATATCAATTCGTTACAAAGTAAACTAATATTTTTTTTAGCTATAATTGCTTTTTGATTTGTAGACAAATGGGAAATTGATCCAGCAGAATTGCATTTATTAGAAGAACTTGGTTCTGGACAGTTTGGAGTAGTGCGAAGAGGAAAATGGCGTGGATCTATAGATGTTGCTGTAAAAATGATGAAAGAAGGCACAATGTCTGAAGATGATTTTATAGAAGAAGCTAAAGTGATGACGTGAGTCGATAATTAATTCAAATTTTTAATATGAAGATATTCAGTAAACAAATGAGAGATTGAATAATAAATGTCAAATTGTTTTTCTCTAGGAAACTTCAACATCAGAATTTGGTTCAATTATATGGTGTTTGCAGTAAAGATAGACCAATATACATTGTTACTGAATATATGCGACACGGATCTTTGCTCAACTACCTCCGTCGTAATGAAGCAACTCTAGGAGCAAATGTTGGTCTTCTTTTAGATATGTGCATACAAGTAAAGTTCACCTTCAAATTTCAACTTTTACTCATTCATTTGTTACAGCAATTGATACCAATTATAATAATTACAGGTTTGCAAAGGCATGGCTTATCTGGAAAGGCATAACTATATTCATAGAGATCTTGCTGCACGCAATTGTTTAGTTGGTTCAGAAAATGTAGTAAAAGTTGCAGACTTTGGATTGGCAAGGTGAAAATTTTCTACAATGTGAAATTATTAATTTATAGTATATATATTTATAGTATATATAATTTATATATAGTATATATTTTTTATATATAGTATATATTTTTTATATATAGTATATATAATTTATAGTATATATATATATTTTTAGTATTTAGAAATTTTATAATTTTATAATTTTGTTTCAGGTATGTATTGGATGACCAATATACTAGTAGTGGAGGCACCAAATTTCCAATCAAATGGGCACCTCCAGAAGTATTGAACTACACTCGCTTCAGCTCAAAATCAGATGTCTGGGCTTATGGAGTACTCATGTGGGAAGTATTTACGTGCGGAAAAATGCCTTATGGACGTCTAAAAAACACTGAAGTCGTGGAAAGAGTGCAACGAGGTATCATATTAGAAAGACCTAAAGCCTGCTTCAAAGAAGTCTATGAGGTTAGTCAAAACTAAATCAATTCTATTCAATATATACTTAATATAATATTCAAAATATATACTTAATATAAATATAAAAAAATTATTTTGATATTAATATAACATATTTATAATAAAATCTTATCGCGTATTTATCTCTTAGGTAATGCGAAAATGTTGGGCCCATTGCCCCGAAGTACGACCCTCTTTCCGCGTGCTGAAGGAACAGCTAATAAGCGTGTCTCAAGGTCTGCTCAATGATTGACTCAACCTTCTACGGTGTATGCGCCTATCGTCGCCTTCGAATCGATCAATACAGGCGGCAAAATCTCCATCACTTGAGCGATCTCCCTCGATATTACCATCTTCTAATTCATCGTCATCTTATAATTCAGCAACATTACCATCATCGCGTAAAACACGTGCACCCGCCTCTTTACCGCCCTCGGTCGATTTTTTACATCTCTCGTCATCCACGTGCAAAACGAAGAAAGAAGGGTCATCCTCACCGAGTACACCTGGCCACCAACCTAGTCAACCATCATCAAGCTCGTCAAACGTCTGTGACATTTGCAGTTCCTACGGACACCCGTGGATTGAAATTTGCAAGGCGATACGAGCCACTAAAGGCAAATAAAAAGTTGTGTGTGTGTCCCGAAAGTATGTGTGTCGATTTCAACGATTGTATTAACGCAAGCTTACAAAACAGCAGAAGAGAAAATCGAACAAAAAAAAAATTAATATTAACACGACATTATTTGATCCTGCATTATTGCAAAACTCTTCTACTATCCTGTATTATCCCTTATCTCTATCCTTCTACTATTCTTTATCTCTTCCCTATTCAATTAATCCCAATTTCCTGAGATCTTTACTATAGATATTTTAGATGTTTTTTTCTCAATGAACAAAAAAAATGATCCGAGTGCGTGATATTATTATGTATTTCTCGGATATTAGGTTTTTCAATCATCCTTTCAATTCCTAACTACTCCCTCGTCCACCATGAGTTTCAGAGTATCTGTTCCATGCAACGATACAAATGCATTTACAAATAGAACAGTAGTATTTATTAATTATCCTTTAAACAGGATATAATAGTAAGTTGTGATTTTTCTGTAGACATGTACTGTCCTTTTGTTATCGACTTTTTAACAAGAACAGTAAACGTAACTTCACAAATGAGAAATATTATTTCTGCTTGATAAATGAATTTAATAAATGAATGTCTCACTTGTGTATTATATACTATGACAATTTAATAAAATAGAATAAAGAAAAATAAAATATTTTATGTTTTTAATATTATTTGCAACTATTTGAAATATCCTAGACTCCTTTTAAATATTTTATGTTTTCATATTATATCTTGTCTTTCTTATCTTCCTTTTATTAAAAATTTATTTTCCTTTTGGTATGCACTTATTCAAATTTTTGATCATTGTACAAACAAACAACAAAAAGAATTTTTAAGAAAAATAAAAATGAGAAACTAAATCTGAAAATAAATTAAATTTTAATTTAATTATATAATTCTATATAAGGCATGTTACTTCATTTTCAGAGCAATGAAAATATAAAATATTAATAACAAAAATAAATAAATAAAATATATCTTAAATATTTATTTTATTAACTTAAATTCTATTATCACTATTACCATCACTATCATTACTATATTAATTATATATATATCTTATAAATTATATATCCTATTTAAAACAATTTTTTTACAAATTTACTTATATCTAAAAATTTTTATTTAAAAATAAAAATTTATCAATAAAAATTAATAATTAATCCTGATATTTATATATTTAGAAAGAGGATTTTTCATGAAATGAATGTAATTTTTAAAAATTTTGTACGAGTATCCATTTAAAAATATGTATTTTTTATCATTAAAAATCTTATAAATTATTAGAATAAATTCTAACCAAAAGTAGTTTGATCTAAATTTATAATTCTTTATAATTTCTATCTATATATAAACCAAATATAATTTAAAAATATAATTTTTATAATTATCTATTAAAAATTTAAAAATAGTATTTATCTAACAATTTAAAGATTTAAATTTAATTATAAACAAAATCTGAATATAATCAAGGGAAAGAAAAGAATATACAAATCTTTTTTTATTTGATACTCAATTCCAATTGATGACATTGGTTTCTGAAACAAAGAAGGCTACAAAAGATTAATAAATTTCAACAAATTATAATGATTTCCAAATTGAACTCAATGAATATAATAAAATGAATGTAAATAGAATTTAATCTTTATACATACTAGTTAAATACTATTTTTTTTTAATCCCTATGTAAAAAAAATCTAATATATAAAAAAATTTGAAAGTTTTTATAAAAAATTTAAACAAAATTTTTAATAATTAATATAATAATTATAAATAATATACATAAGAATAACTAATTCAATAAAATGAGAATACAAAAATTCTTATATACATATTTCTTCAATATAAAAATTTAAATTTTACCTCTTCTTTATAAAATTTTGTATCATTATGGTATCCATATTGAAATTTTTTTCTGCAGAAAATAATCTTAATAATCAGCTACTTATCTGCACAAAAAAAATTATATCTCTAAAATAAATGTATAAAATATATAAAATTAATAAATAGAAAATTAATATATAGAAAATAAACAATAATTTTGATAAAAAAAATAAAATAATAATTAAATCAAAAATTTTATCTTAAAAAAGTATGAATTATAAATTATCTGCGACTCTAACTATTAAACAAATGAATAAAGAAAAAATAATTTATTCACAAAAAATTTTTAATCAAAATAAAAAACATATTAATTACGCACTAATATATGAACAATGAAAAATAATTATGGTAATAAATATCACACAATAGATAATTGAGAGAAATATATTTGGCATGATTTGAATTTTCAAATTATTAAATTTGAAAATTCATCAAATTTGGTATGAATGCGGATTTTCTGATTTTTTATAGGTTATATAATAAGAAATGTTTTTATATCTTGAATATAATATAAACAAAATAAATATAAAAATAAATATAACGTAAATAATAGGACTAAAATGACTAATTTCATTATGTTTAAAAAATTTTAAAAGTAAATGTGTAAAAAGTAAAAAGTAAACCAAAAAAAAAATTATCAAAAAACAATATTACTATTATTACAATTTACACATTCATAAATAATGAAATGATATATACAGCTTTCAATATTACACTATTTTACATTAAATTGTCACATGTAATATAAAAATGATAAAATAGTCATATAATATTCAAATTCCTATAACATGAAAAAATGCAAGTCTGTACCTTTTTTGTAGTAACAGCTTCCTATTCATTCATGATAGGGATGAAATGTACCAACACTCATAAATAGAACGCAAAATTGTTACACTCGCGAATAAATATAGTATAAATAATATGAATAAAACACATACAAATTAATGAAATATATGTGCAACTTTAAATTATATTCGAAATTGAATACGAATAACTTCTCCATCCGCACAACACAGCGGTCGAAGCGAAACTGGCAAGTCTTTCCCCACTCGATAAACATTGCTCGGCGGGTAAGGTCGAACGCCGCAAGCGACAGTATCGATGACGATATAAATTATTATCTGTAAACTTCAAGCAAATATTTCAAATTATGAAATTTTTAAATATTTTAATTTTTAATTTTTATAAACTTTAATAAATTATAATAATATAAAATATTATATACTATATATTTTATTATATTTTATTATATATTTTATTATTTATTCTTTGTTAATTTTAATATATATAACGATTTATAAAATATATAGTATATAATATAATATTTTATATTATTATAATTTATTAAATTCTTAATAAATCTTAATAATTTAAAATCTTATATATATATATAATTTTAAAATTATTTATTTCTATTATTTATTATTTTTAATTTATGAAAAAAATATTAAATTCAATTTATAAATATTTATTTTATTTAATAAATTTTCTGAATATGTAACAATCAATATATTTTTATATGTTTTTAGGAATTTACTACATTATAAATAGTGAAAAAATAAATTTGATAAACGAATCTTTAATCACATCTTTCGATAAAATATTTTAAAATTATTTACTTTTTCCTTTGTTAAACTAAGCTTTTGTTTAAATTCCATTGCTAAATAATGTCTCTTGATAACACGCATTATATATCAGAATATATTGCGAGATTATCATTCTAGAAATATATTTTAAAAATTCTTCTAAAAAAATGTTTTATCGAGAATATAATATTTATATTTTTCATATAAAAATTAAGATATATTATAATTTTGAAAAAGAAATGATGAAAGTGCATTCAATTGATATTTCCAATTGCGTTTATAATCATCAAAAATAAATATAAAAAAGCAAATATAAGAAGAGCGAAATAAGAGAAGAATAGAAATAGGATAAAATTGTAAAATCAGAGCCATTTTTAAATGTTACAAATAAAATTATATAAACAAGAAGAGGAAATAATAGAAGAAAGATAGAAAAAGAATTGACTAATAACGCTATCTTTTGAGTGTCAAAAACATCTCTCTAAAAACAGAGACAATGCTGATTCTTATTCTATCTTTATTCTTCTTTTACAATTTTCTATCCTTTCTTTATTTCATTTTTAGCAGTCTGAAGATAGTATTTATTTACTGATTTCAAGATTTTTATCCGATTTTTATCCTTCTTTTATTTGCTCTCCTTATTTATGTTTATTTTATCTAAAGCATTTTAGAAATAGTATTAATTTCCCAATTTTTATCGTATCTCTATCCTTCTTTTAGTATTTCCTTTCTTTATCTACTTGTTCTGTAAAATTTATACTTGAAAGACAACTGCGATATCCAATTGAAATTTTGACATTTTATTTTATAAATTTAAAAAATTATTATATTCACGTGTATACATCTTTTACGGTTTATGAAAGTTATTATTTTTTTAAACATAACATAATTATAGAATATACATATTACATATTAATACAATGTGTTACTATCATTTTTAATACTTTTGCATTTATCAAAAGTTTCTATGTGTATGTAAAGAATAGGCATGTATTTGATAAGCAGTTTTTCTATTATTAAATATCACAGGTAATAATTGATAAAGTAAATTGTGTCAGATAAATCATTCAAAATATGATTTTATTTTTTCTTTATAAAAAAATTATATATTGAAATAAATATTATTTATAAAAAAATAAGATATTATTTTATTTCTTAATATTCTTAACTATATCTTGAATCTTTTTTTTTTTTAGAAAACATTTTATAAAATATTTCAGTACTATGGAAAATCCATTAGTTGCAGTATGTCAAATGACATCAACAAATGATAAAGAAAAAAATTTGCAAACTGTACGTGAACTTACTGAAAAAGCAAAACATAGGGCAGCTTCTGTAAGTTTAAAAATGAAATTTTAATTAATTTTTAATATTGCATATATTTATATAAGTTTTTTTTTAAATATTTTGATAGATTGTATTTTTTCCTGAGGCATGTGATTATCTAGCAGATAGTAAAAAGGATACAATAGCCATGGCTCAAACTTTGAACGGACCAACAGTGACAAGTTATAAAGAAATTGCAAAAATAAATAAAATTTGGCTATCATTAGGTGGAATTCATGAAGCAGTAAGAGACTTCAATTTCTTTTTTTTTTCTTTAATTTATATATTATTTATATATTATATAACTTTTTATTTAATTTATATATTATTTTAATTATATTTATAGTTGGATAACAATAGAGAACATATAAGCAATACACACATTTTAATAAATAGTGAAGGAGAAATTGTCAGTACATATCGAAAAATACATTTATTTGATATGGATAATAAAAATACTGGAGTTAGATTAATGGAATCAGATTATGTTTTACCAGGACAAAAGATTGAATCACCTATATCAACACCAATTGGTAAATTAGCACTCAGTATTGTATCCTTTTTATATTTAAATTTCACAATTTTCAAATATTAAAATATTAAAACATTAAAAATTATTTCTACTTAATAGTAATATTAGTGTTATGATATGCGTTTTCCTGAATTATCTCTTTCATTGAGAAATATGGGAGCAGAAATTTTAACGTATCCATCAGCATTTACATACCAAACAGGTGCTGCACATTGGGAAATATTATTACGTGCAAGAGCTATAGAAACACAGTGTTATGTTGTAGCTGCAGCTCAAACTAGTATACATAATAAAAAAAGAGTGAGCTGGGGTCATGCAATGGTAAAGAATTTTATATTATATTTTTATATTATATAGTTTTGTTATATGAAGTATAATATTTATGAAAAAAATTACTAGGTTATTGATCCATGGGGATCTATAATAGCGCAATGTAGTGAAAAAACTGATATAATTTTAGCAGAAATTGATTTAAACTTATTAAAACAAATTCGACAAAATATGCCATGTGAAAATCATCGTCGAACAGATTTGTATCCTAAATTAGAACCTTTATAATCTTTAATATGTATAAATTTATGTAATATATTTAAATGTTTTATTTTAAATATATTTAAATGTATAATTATATTTAAAATTGTATATAATTATATTTAACATTTATTTATTATTTAGTTTTATATATAAACAAATATTCGTGGTGAACTTAATATTGTAAATAAAGTAAAAAGAGATTGAAATGTAATAACATTTTCATAATATACACATATAAAACAAACATTCATTGTGATAAATACATTTAATAACTTATAAATATTTGTACCTTAAAAATGTAAAGATGGAAATATATTGTTACAATTATGATATTTTTGTACATATGAAATTAAAAGTATAACTACAAAGAAAATACGATTTAGATATTTTAATAAGATATAAAATATTTTACAGAATGTCAATAAGACATTCCTTATTTTACTAATTTAAACTATTAATTTATTTAATAATATATTAAAACTTTAATCATCTTCCCAAAATGGCACATACTATATCTATAGATATAGATGTAATATTTATTATTTGCTACCTATAAAATATAAATTATTGTAATTATATAATGTAAATTACATATGTAAATATGATATTTTATTTATTATTTTAAATATTTACATACTTTCACTTATATCTGTTCTTTGAGATCCTATAAGATCTGCTTCAACTCCTTGTAATGCCCAATTATGTTCATATATTTCCAATGCTTCCCATTCTGATTTGAAAGCAGCTTTTGGGTCTGGTGGCATAGACATTGCAGCACCAGATACTTGATCCTGTAAAAGTCTAGAAGTATCAGCAGCATTACTTTCACCAAGGACAAGTGTATAAATGGAACGTAATCCAAACACATTTAGAAAATACCAAGATGCTGATGAAACCCATGCAGCATCAAGAGTAGCTAATTCTATGCCACGTTGCAACATTGGTTTAAAACGCAATGTTAAAGGAAATGGTACTTTAGCTGAAATAGAATCATTTATATTAAATCAAGAAATTTGAGTTTAAATTATATATAATATATTCATTCAATCCATTAAACTTACTTGTAACAAAACCAGAAAACATCCAATTAATCCAACCACCTATAAGCACCATTGGTATAACATTAGTTACATTTCCTTTTAACATATCTGTCATCATATTAGGATCTGTCATTGGATTCTGTGATACTGGAGCACGTTTTTGTGTTTTAAAATATCCTGTTTCTTCATTATTAAAAAAATGTCTTCTACTAATAAATGCCATTTTTGGAATATATTGACCATTTTCCCTAAGTAATCTAGAGCGTATCATCACTTGACTAAAAAATAAAAAAATAATGTTTAAAATTCACATTTAAAATATTAGACAAAAAATATTAAAATAATTTAAAAAATGCAAAATTTTTTATCACATAATTACCTGTCTTGTACTTGATGAAGCTCAACCTTTTTTTGTGAAGCAAGTAGTATCGAAACATAATGTCGAATAATGCCTACGAGAAATGTAATTACAACGATAGGCAAAAATACCCAACCCCTAATGTTTGGATCTAAAATCAACTCAGCCATACCACTTGTCGCTATACCGAAATTTAGACGGAACAAAGAAGAAAGGTAAGAAAATTAAACAGATAGAAGAACATTTTATAAAGGCAAGAACATGTATTATCAATGCCAGTTATACATAGCAAGAGCCCCCTAGAGGACATGATATAGAAATAATAATTCATACCTCACCGATAATAAAATATAATTAATTTATTTTTTGTAATAAATTTTCTATAATGAAAAAATTGAGTCAATTGAAATTAATTCAAAATTAAATGCATATAAATTAAAATTATGAATATATATAAAAATATTATTATTTTTATATATATTATAATTGTACATATATATATATACATATATAAATATACATATTTGAAAAAATAATTATTATTCATTCACATGTTTATATTTATGTGTACATTTTATCAATATTTTTATATTTTAACTGAAAATATCATAGAAAATATTTAATACCATTACTTAAGTAGAACTACTCAATTTTTGCTGAAAAGAAAAGAAAACCAGAAAAGTGTATAATAGATTTTCTGATGCAATTTCCCGCCTTCTAAACAATTACCTTCATTATCGACATGCTTGTCCGAACGTGGAACAGAATCCCGACGGAGGGCAGTGTCAATCGTTAGCATTTGGTAGCATAGTGGTTTCGTTGAGACACCTACATTACATTCATATATGATTCAGTTTCGCTAGCACTTTTACGGGGTGAGATTTGCAAAGTGTGTCTGAGCAACTCGAAAAGTGCGTCGCACGTAAGTGCGAAGCGTGATATGAAATAGTGAATTGGATCGTGATTCAAATGGATAGGCGATACTAACTACACGTCATGGGATTGTGAAAGGAATCGAGAACGTATAAGAAGGCAGGAAGTGGGAAAAGGGCCAGGGATACAACGCTCACGCCCGGTTGTCACGACGCCATGTTTCCCCGAAGTAGTCTACCGATGTCGAGTATCCCTTTGATGATACTCTGTTTTTTCATACTATTCGTCGCCGGCCTTGATGAATCTGGTAAGTCATAGAAATACTTTTACAAACTATCTCATGATCAATTTGAGCGCGTCGACAACTCTTTCCGCTTCTCTCGTTGAACATCTACAAAGAATATGAATGTTATAAGCAATGTAGCGGATACACACGCGATACACTGCTGTCATCATTATCCTCACAATTGTTATCCTTCGTTCGATAATTTTTATCTCATGTAAATATTATGGCAATGATTTTAACTTAAGCCAAATAGATAGTTGATTCTACAATTATGCATAAAATTGTATATCATTATGCTGATTAATAACATAACATAAAAAAATATCGAATGTCTAACGTATCTTAATTGTTTCAATTATTTATCGTTTGATGTACCTTTTCTTATCGTTTATCTTTTGTTTGTTATATGATTTATATTTATAAAAAAAAATTCAATTTTTATGGTATATTAATTAATGGAAAAAGCTCGAAATCAATTTGCTATATCCATATTTCATAATTTTAAAATATAACAGTTCAATATTAAAAAATTTATTCACAAAAATTATTTATATTTTAATCTTTATTAAAAAATTTCTATCATAATTGAAATTAATTTATAATATAATCAGTGATATATTCTATTATTCTTATTTATTTTATTTAACTATCTTATATATTTCTTATTATATATTATATATTAATATTATATATATATTATTCTTATTATATATTATATATTATATGTATATTTCATACATACCATAGAAGTAAATAAACTAAATTTGAAAATTGTGAAACTCAATTAGATAAATAATTATGTATATATAATAATTATGATCATAAATTATGAATTATCAGAATTTTAAGAATGAATATATTTATTATTTATTAAAATAATAAATTTCTAATTTATTCACTTACTAATTTGCTTATTATTAATAAAAAAATATTTATTATTTTGATGAAATATTTAATTAATTATTTCTATATTTTACGAAAATTCATTTCCTTCAGCTTAAATATAATTTTGAATAATAAAAAACATTTTTCTTTACCGGACAAATATTTGAATATGTTTATGTTTGGAAACATAATCCATTTTTAAGTAGTTTATTTTATCGAATATTAAATTATATTTTTTTCGCAAAAAATAATCTTTATTTGATATAAGTAATTTTATAAAAATCGGAACAAAGTTAAATTAAATACTATAGAAAATTTTATTTCATAATATAATCACTAAAGTAATTTTTATAAAAGTAATTTTTATAAAGTTTTATTTTTTATTTAATGATTTTTATTATTTTTTTAATGCAATGATTATCTTATTTTACATAATAAATATCACATAATCTAATATATAACATACGATTTAAAGACGTTTAATGTAAGAAAACGTCACTGTCTATTGAGTCACCAGTGTCATCGCGATAATAACTGTTGAACTCATTAAATAAAGAATTTACGCGACATATACTTTCACGTTCTGCACAAAGAGATGAAAACTTAGAACGACATTTTTTAAAGTTTATATTAATATAGATTATAAAATAATACTTTTAATAATACATATAATAATACATATGATTATTAATTGCTATTAAATCGCTTAAAAAAAGAAAATTGATATTAAAAATAGTTTTGCACATAGTTTCGTTCAGTTGATAATTTTAATTTTGTTAAAAATTTCAATTCAATATAAATTTTTTATTCTTCATATCAAAGAATTTAAAATAATACAGCAGCTTATATTTTTATTTGAATATAAAGTCATAATATAAAATTTTATTTGATATATATTTTTTATATAAGTCTATAAAACTTTATACAATAAAAAATTTTAAACAATAAAATATACAATAAAATATACTTTGAATAAATTTTGATAAATTTTACCTTTTAAATAACAAAATTTGTATATTGCATTTGTATATAACAATTTAAATAATTTCATTATCATGATTTTAATGAATTAATGAACTAACTGTATAATTCATTCATGTATTAAATAAAAAATTTTTTTAATTTAAATAATTTATTTTTTTTAAATTAATCAATTTGTCAATAAATTTTTATTTGTTATTGTTATGTTGATTATTATTCAAATATTGGTAAATTTCATATATGTTTCATAAAATCTCAATAGATTAAACATCAATTTATTAATATCACATAAATATCAAAATAAATATATGAATATATATTTTTTTGTGTCCTCATATAGTTGTTGAAAGCATAGAAACCACTGAGTCAAAAAATGAGAATCCAGCAATATTAGAAATTACAGCATCTCAAGATTTAGAAGGTATAGAGGCTGGTAGTACGCCATCATTAATATGTAAACTCAATGTTCCTGGCCAAATATGGTGGACTAGCAATGGAAAAAATCTCACTACTATTAAAGATTTTGATTCGGGAGGACGTTTGGATATTAAACAAGCTAGTAGAAATGATACAGGAGACTACAAGTGTATAGCACAAACTATAGAAGGGGAAATATTGGAAAAGGATGTTCATATTAGAGTTATTGGTAAAGTTATTAATTATCAATTAGAATTATTAATTATCAATTAATTATAATATTCAAAATTTATATTTATGCAATTATTTACATTTTTAATTATGAATTATTTTTATTTTAGAACCAGGTAAAATAACAGCTGGAGAAGATATTAGGATAAAAGTTATGGAATCTGCTAATTTAACATGTCACATGCATGGTTATCCATTATCTCAATTTTCTTGGTTAAAAGGAAATGATTCTGAAAGTTCAGATCACTGGAAGGATTTCACCACTATCACACAAATAAATGAAACTCTCACTATACTCACTTTAGAATTTACGAGTTTAACACGTAAAGATAACGGAACGTATATTTGTAAAGCACGTGATTACAACGGTGAAATTAGCGCTTATAGACATCTTTTTGTAATTGATGTACCAAAAGTAAGCATTGACTTTATGAAAGCTGTTGGTGCTGGAAGTATATTTTTAAATTGGACTGTAAATGATGGTAATGAGCCTATTAAAAAATATTTTATCCAACATATGAAGAATGGAACTAATCAATATCAATATTATTCTGAACAAATTGGCGGCGGTAACTCAAGCTATGTTTTAAAAGGTTTTGAAAGTGGTACAGCATATCAAATTGGTATTAGTGCCATGAATAATGTGGGTACATCACATGTACGATTTGATCCACGTTGGATTACTACTCTTGAAAAAGGTATTGAAATATATAATTTTAATTATATTAATTATTTCTGAACTATTAAATAATAGATCAATTCAATTTGTTACAGATCCTATATTTGTACCAAAAGTTTCTGTTAATGGAGTTACTGAAAATTCTATTACAATAGCATGGACAGTGCCACCATTGGATTTAAAAGAACATGTTCATTATTATAATTTAATGATTACCCATGGAGATCAAAAAAGAGAAGCGGTATATCCCGCGCAATCATATGCCGTGTACGCATTTGTCGATCTTGATCCCGCTACAAAGTATAAATTTAAAATTGCCGCATGTAGCGAATATACAAAAGAATGTGGAAATTGGAGCACTGAAGTAAATGGTACTACTTTAGATGGAGGTAAAATTATTAAACTCGGAAACTCAATATTTTCTATATTTTAAAAATTTAAAATTAATAATATAATTTTAATTTCAGTGGCTAGTCCTCCTCAGAATTTATCTGTTAATTGTCGATTTGATAATATAAGTAGTTCCAGTTTCATTTCCATTTCATGGGCTCATCCAGAGAAACCTAATGGTGTTATTACTCGTTATAATATACAATTAACTGGCATTGCTAGATTTAGAAATGACATGGGTCGTTTAGATATTGATACTTGGGGACCACAGACTTGGAGTGTTTATAAAAAAAATAGTACACATTTTAATCAAATACCACCTAATACTAATTATACTGTCCGTGTTAACGGTGTAACTAGATCTCGAACACTAGGAAAGGATGCTGTTGGTAATTGTACTACACCAATTACAATACCAGACAGAGATAGTTTAAATATGCGATCGTGGCGAAAAATTGAAAATCAGGGTAAACAATTGTTTAAATTGTATCTTCCTCGTATCACAGAACGAAATGGTCCTATATGTTGTTATCGAGTTTATCTAGTAAAATTAGCACCACAAAAAAGTGTTACTGATTTACCACCACCCGAGGAAATTAATGTATATTCATATCAATATGCTCATAATTCACCTTCTGGTGGTGCTTATATTGCCGAAATATTCGATAGTGATCGATTGATATCCGAAATTTTCCTTGGCGATGGTGAATCATTCAATGGTAGTAATATGTGCAATAAATGTATTGGACTTCGTCCAAAAGCTGCTCCACCTGTACATTTTGTTCCTGAAGTTTCAATAACCACATCAGCATTTAATACAACACCTGCTATTACTACATTATTAACATCGACTACAACTCCCACTCCAACAACATCTACTGTTACTACTCAAAGGATAGAAATCATTACAAATCTAATAGATAATAATCATACAGAATCTGTAGAAAGAAAAAAAAGAGAAAATATGGCTATCCAGAAAACAAAAAGTGAAGATGGATCTTTTGAACAATTACTTAGCGCACAAGATGGTTTCTTAGATGAAAAATCAAATTATACGGGTTTTATCGAAGTTATTGGTATTTTAATATTTCCAAATAAGTACATATTTATATTGAAAGTTTAAAATACTTTTTATTACAAGAGATTTTTTTTTTTTTTTTTTTAGTGCTTGGAAACCAAGATCAGCTTTTACCTGCCTATAGTAACTATTTTAATCTTCTCTATGGAGGATTGGATCCCGTAACTATGATATCAACGGAAGTGACCACACTCAGTGTAATTCTACAACTTTCTATTGCTCTTATATTGATTATCATCATTCTTCTTATTGCACTTTGTGTATTACATAGATACACAAAGCGTGCTCAACAAAGAGGAGAAGAAATTATAACTCTGAGAAATAGTTTTAGGTAATATTTTCACTGAAAAAATATTATATATTGTATATATTATATAATATAATATATATTATAATATTATAATATATATAATATATAATATAATGAACATTTTTATCTTAATAGGCATTTATGCAGAAGTCTTAGAGGAAGGCATCAATTGGTAGCAGCAAGTCCTCCAGATATGCCTCCTATTCCTAAAAGTGAATTGCTTCAAGCATATCTTGAACGACACCGAGATTCTGATTATGGTTTCCAACATGAATTCGAATTATTACCAGATAGATTTACAGATCGTACAACAAGAGCTTCAGAAGCACGCGAAAATTTATATAAAAATCGTTATCCGGATATAAAATGTTATGATCAGACTAGAGTAAGACTTGCGCAAATGGATGGAATTTGTGGTTCCGATTATATAAACGCAAATTTTGTATTAGGATACAAAGAACGCAAGAAATTTATATGCGCTCAAGGTCCAATGGAAAATACTGTTTGCGATTACTGGAGAATGATTTGGGAACAACATCTTGAACTGATACTTATGTTAACAAATCTCGAAGAATATTCGAAAACAAAATGTGCAAAGTATTGGCCGGACAAAGGTGAAACCAAAAATTTTGGCGATATTACTGTTGAACATGTTCGAGAAAGAGCTTATTCGGATTATGTTGTTCGTGAATTAAAAATGACACGATTAGGAGAACGAGACGCACGCACTATTATTCAATATCATTTCTTAGTTTGGAAAGATTTCATGGCACCAGAACATCCTCACGCAATCCTCAGATTTATTAAAAGAGTTAATGAAGCTTATTCGTTGGAAAAAGGTCCAATATTAGTACATTGTAGTGCAGGTGTCGGACGAACGGGAACATTAGTCGCATTAGATTCTTTATTGCAACAACTTGCAGAAGAGGGTCAAGTTTCAATATTCAATACAGTATGTGATTTAAGACATCAAAGAAATTTTTTAGTGCAATCATTGAAACAATATATTTTCATTTATCGCGCATTAATGGAAATGGCACAATATGGTGATACAGAAATTCCAGCATCGCAGCTTAAAAATAATGTTGCAAAATTAAGACAAAGAGATAATGGTAAAGAAAAATGTAGAATGGAAGAAGAGTATGATGTAAGTAAAAATCCTGTTAAAAGATTTAGTCACATTAAAAAAAAAGTGTTAATCAAAGAAAATTGTACATTTTATTTTTGATATTTGTAGAAAATCAACTCTGTATTAGAAGACAGAAAATCATTTTCCGTTGGTGGAGGAGAAGAAAATAAAAGCAAAAACAGAAGTGAATTAATAATCCCATATGACAGAAATCGAGTAATTCTTACACCCGTTCCGGGTAGAGAACATTCAACATATATAAATGCATCTTTTATTGAAGGCTATGACAATTCCGAATCGTTTGTTATTACTCAAGATCCATTGGATACTACAATAGCAGATTTCTGGCGAATGATTTCAGAACAGTGTATTTCTACGATAGTAATGTTATCCGATGTAAGCAGTTATTTCTTACGTTTTTTAATTATTTTTTATATTTTTTATATATTATAAATTTTAAACTCGTTGCGTAAGTATTATATATGGTACGCAACTTATATTTTTCCATAATATTAAAAAAAAATTATACTTATAATAATTAGAGTCGGACGAAAAATATTATTGAGTCTCCGATTTTAAATGAATGTGTTATAATATATAAAACTAACCTCATTATTCAAATTGTACATATGTAATATAAAAATTTATTTTAGTTAAATGAAGGTCCAAGAAAATGTCCACGTTATTGGCCTGACGAAGAAACTGCATATGATCATATAAGAGTTAGATATATTCAAAGTGAGAGCTGTCCGTATTACACTCGTCGTGAATTCTGTGTTTCTAATACAAAAACGGATGAAAGTGTTGTTGTAACACAATATCAATATCATGGGTGGCCAACAGTAGAAGGAGAAGTACCTGAAGTAACTCGTGGTCTCATTGAACTCGTAAACCAAACGCTTACAAACGATACAGAATCAAGCGGCTCACTAGTTGTGCATTGCAGCTATGGATCTGATAGGAGTTCTATGTTCGTCGCTCTTAGTATATTGGTCCAACAATTGAGAACTGAAAAACGCGTAGATATATTTACAACAACAAAAAAATTACGTTCACAAAGACATGGCATGATTAGCACTTTTGTACGTATTTCAAATTTAATAGTCAATTTTTTTTTTTATAAAAAAAGTAAATAAAATAATTATATATAAATTTTTATTTAATATTTTTATTTAATATTTCTAGGCACAATATGAATTTTTACATCGTGCTATCGTGAATTATTCAGATCTTCATAATTTAGCCGATGATGAACCAACTTCTTAATATTGCGGAATAAAATATTGAAATTTCTCAATAATGTTTGGTGAATATGTGCGTAAAAACAACGTACAAAAAATGTTTGGAGATTGTGTATTCGAATGCTCAAAAACCTATATTGGGCCAACCAAAGAGATTACTAATATATTGGTGAAATAAATACATCATGAAATTAGACTGAAATATACATGTGTATAAGCAATTATCGATCTTTGAGAATTTTTATACACTATCGAAGAGAATTATGTGTATACATTTATTCATACCACAAGGAATAAACAGTAAACATTTCATATTGACAAATTCATAGGATTAAACTAAACATACGATTGATTTGATATACAAATGAATTTAACCAATTATTGGTTAATTGTTATAAAGTGCAGTACAGTGAAGACATTCGTGATATCATGGTCTCGACAACATTGTGAATCTATCTCAATGATTTATTTTTATTGATAAAATTGAAAAAAAAAAACACGAAATAGTGTATTTAAACATTTTTGTGATTGAACATGTATGAAGAAACGTATGAAGAAAGCATTGACGCAACAAAGTAAGTGCGTTTTTATTAACAAATACGACTATTTGATGGACTACTGAAATAATTAAGCATATTTATAAAACGTATAAATATTTTGACAAAATAAACCATATAACAACTTACCAATCTAATAATTGATCGTATTTTTATATTATAATAGTTACATTTCAGACTTTATAACATACATATTATATTATAATAATAAAATTATAATTTATAGAAACTTTGTATTATATAATATAACAATAATTTATGTATTTTTATGTTGTTCATACATGTATTCTTTTTTACGCGATCAAATATAGATGGTACAACTTATATGGTTTAAATTGAATTAAGAACTGGATTCTTCCAAACGTTTTTGCAGACATGCGTTGTTATTCTATCCTTCGATAACAAGGATAGATCAAACTCTGATTTGGTCTACCTTACAATTTATAATTATTAATAATATTACGCACGCATGTGTGTAAATTTATTTGTAACATACGTGTCATATAAAAGCGATATAAAGCGTGCGTACATAATGCGCTTGCGCTAATTTTTCTTCTAAAGAAAGACTGATCTTCTTATTCAGTTTAAAATGCGCGAAAAACAGCACGTACTTTATTTGTACGATATATAAAACTACTGTGAATTATAACACGGAGAGAAAAATCATTTTTTTACTTTTTCATACACAAAACGATTAGAAATATATCTGTGTGTGTGGCATGTCCGCAAATGTGCTTTGTAAGTCACCGACGAAGTGTTACGCATAATTGGAGGGCTTATGCGGCATAGGAGTTAGGTTTCATTCAAGAATACCAAAAGATATAGGTAGTTCTTATGTATTGGAATTTATGAGTTAAATTATTGAAATAACTAAATTTCGGCTAAAATAAATTTTTCTAATTAGAGAATAAAACTACTATAAAATATTATTTTATGTAATATATAATATTATATTACATAATATAATATTATGTAAATGAATAAAATCGAATTTTTACATTAATAATGAGAATTACCTACAACTGTTAGTATTCTCCTCACAGTGAATAATACTGAAAATAAAAACAAGTCGATGAGATTACTATAAATAAGGAAAGAAAAAGAAACAATATCTTTAAAATAAGAAAAATTGTGAAATCATACATTATACATATTATATTATTTCTTCGCATGTTCGTTTTTTTCTAGTCAAGTTTTTAACTCCGGCATATACGCTGCTAAGCCATTCATTTATGGCAAGGGACAATCACATTAAATTTTTGATTTACATCGCATCGATCGACAAGATTTATTTTCTTTTCCTTTCGGTGTCATTCCATTCGTGCTTACGATGCACGTCCCTATTCAATGTACATGTGTGTATAACCGAGAATAACAATTAATTACTAGTTTGCGCTTCGATTATGTTATAATTGATAGAGATCTAAGATACAAACATGCTTTATCTGTAATTAGAGTTGCTGCTATCACCTTCTGCTGTTGCTTCATTATATTAATAAACGGTGTGACATATTTGTTTTTATACTTATATAACAAAATTATTATATGTAGAAATATTTACAAAGTGCCTATGAATTTCCACCTACTGTTATTTTTTTTACATACTATAAAACATCATTAATATTTATCTTTCATAGATTGCAAATAATTTAAGATATAATATTAGAGACTTATGAGATAATAAGATATTTTTATCTGTATCATAAATATATCTGTACAGATATATTTATCTGTATTTTATCTGTAAACATATATATATGTTTATCAATGGTTTATAAATATTTTATAAACCACAGTATTTTTACATTATATAAATATTTATACAGTTATATATATTTCATTCTAATTTCATAATAATGTTTTTGTTATCAATCCAATATTTTCTTATTTGCGTAAATCTTGTCTACATTCTTTTTTTTTTAATTAACTCATAAAAAAAATATTGTATGGTGGAAATTTTTAAACATTTTGTATGGTAGATGTAGGTTCAAATGATCTTTAATTGAAATATAGAAAACATTTTCTTAGAATGTCAAATTGACACGCACAATATATAAAGAAAAATAATCTCATGGACTTTTAATATTTTATGATGTAAAATTTACAAGCACAGCACTGTAACAAATATATTTCGTTTAATTTATGTTATTATCAGTGAGAAAATAAGCGATGTTTAGGCATGAAACATCTCTTATTTGTAGAATATATTATTTATAAGATCTGCGATATATATATATAATTATTAATTGCGTCTTTATTATTTAAGAATTTTGCGCAAAATTAACGATTGTTTTTAATTTTTATCGCATAAAGTTAAAATATACTTTAAATGCTCGCGAAAATGCGCAATTTAGAACAGTAATGATATAACCATTGTTAATATTTGATATGACATTATGCAATTGCAAAATTGTTATTACAATTTTGTAATTAATTGCATGTACTGTTCTTATTACATATTTTCATCTCGTAGTATGTGTATAAAGAAACATCGACATTTTTACAGCCAGTGTATGAATTAGAAGGATTAAAAGCATTGTTGTAAATTAATATACAATTTTTTATTTTTATCACGATAAAAATTCTGATACGATCCATTGAAAAAAGCGAAAAAAAAAAAAAGAAATATTTCAAGTAGCAAGTGTATCGCACTTTTTTAACTTTTTATTTTATAAAATGGACATCGAAAGATGCAAACTATATTATTATAATAATATAGAGATACCTCAGATATAAGTTAAAGTTAATGGTTTCACACAATTTACCATTTTATCTCAAAAAATAAATTATAACAATGTATTATTAATTGCAGAACTGTATTGATAATACGTTAATTTTTTTTTCTCAATCAAATTAAATGGTCGATTTAAATTGATTATTAATTTGATCGATATTAACTTTAATTTATCTTGAGGTATAAATGGCTCTATGTAACTGGCTAGGAATATGTAGCGCGAAAAATGATATAGCGTGCCCTATAAGAAACTTGTGCGTGACGTTTGTTAATTATTAATATAATTAGGCAATACATTATAAGAGAATGAGGAGACGGCGGTCTTTTTCAAGAATAATTAATATAATTTCATATAGGATACATACTATATAAATATTCTCTTCTGTGACCAGAGAAAGGTGACTGACAAACCATGTATTACTTTACATGTTAAAGATGCCATTCATGATAAATTCATTCTAATATTTGAAAGAAATAACTGTGTTAATAGTATTTGAATCAGCTAGTATAGAATTTTGTAAATTGTGCTATTGCCATAGCAATGAGCATTATTATATGATTATTGTTGTCAATATGATTGTGCTGCATTAAACAAATAATAATCATTGAAATTAAAAATAAAAAAAAAAATCTTTGAGATTTTACTAGAAAAAAGTTTTGAATTTTCTTTTATCTCTGATCTAAAATGGCAATTAATAGCAGCATAAGTTATTACAATTCGAAAAAAGGAAAGCAGATTTTTCCAAAATATAATGGAAAACTATTTTGCTTGAAAATCTAAGTCTTTGAAGAGTGAAGACTTTTTTACAATTTTGATACATAAAATGAAATTTGCAATAACAAGTAAAATAATTATCAAAGACATTTTGTATAGTTATTATTCATTTTTCATCATGCTTTAACTATTGTTTATGTTTTTATTGCTTTTTGTATTCATAAAAGTACATTGAGAAAATTTTTTATAATATACATAGTATATCATTTTAATAATGAAGACACATTAACATAATTTGAACTTTGAATTGGAAAAGAATGATTGAGATTTTGTTTTTTTATTATTCTTTATATTTTTTAATATATGCATGAGCAATATAATATCTATTATATTTGATACATATAAATCTAATGGCACCTACTAACGTTCCTGTGATATTCTATGCGACTGATGAGTTTAAGATATGTGATATGAATCACGATCCTTTTTATACAATTGACAATAGAAATCAGTTTTTTATACCATCAATTTTGTACTTTTATAACTTGATATTTTAAATTATTTTGAAATTTTTAAGTGAATTTTCGAAAATTTTTATACGGGCATACTTAAATTTTTTAGCAATCTTTTTACCTTTTAGATATTTCCATCGTCTAAATATTAAGATGAAAATAATCGAAAGATTAATATATTGCATGTTTTATGCATTAGATATCACAATAGAAAGAGATTAACCATAATTAATAAAATTGATTAATTATTTTATAATTATTCGAAATAGTATCAATCATATTTATGTTTGAATATTTGTATAATTTAAAAATATGAATTTTATATAATTATCGATCGATATGATGTGTATGTATTAATCTTTCATTGTAAATAACTTAGAATTACAAAAAATTGCATAGTGATTCTTTTTTCCAATACTCAAAGAGAAAAGACGTTTCATCTGAGTATTCAACTTTTTATACATATATAGAGTGTTTCAAGAAACATATTGAATTAATGACTTTTTCAAATACTCACTTCTAGATTAAAATGGATCTCTCTATATATGTATACTTCGTTCTATTTCCAACTATTTTTCTTCGTTACAGAATTGTAAAAAATATTAAAAATATATTAGAAGAATAATACAAAAAAGTATTACCAAAAGTATTCTTTATAATTAGTTATTAATCGTTGCGACGTTGCATCGGAATTTGTAACGATATTGCTTATTCTGCAGATATAGCAATAAAATATTTTACACGATTCAATTAATTAGTATATATAAATCATTAAAATGATTTTCTTCAGCGTGTAGCTTGTATCGAAATTTTTATTTATTCGACTAGTAATTGTCAAGTAAATGATTTTGATATCTATGGATTAAGTACGAAATTCATTTAAAAATATCGTGTTGTCATGTACAAATATACGTAAGTTTCGCTCGAATTGTATACGTAAAGACATGCTATGAATTGTCATTGTTTTATTTTTCGTATACATACGGTATAATATACATTTATATAAGGGATGGAATATTCGAAATCTCGAAATTAAAAAAATTTTGAATTCTTGAAAATGAAACATAAAAATTAAATTTTTTAAGTCAGATTTCGGCCCATCTCTATGTATCTTTATATATATATACATTTAAACGATTAGTTGTTAATTTCTAATACGTTGGGTAATGTACATTCGATAAGTAAGCACTATAAGTCTTTTTTTGCATCTATTTTAAATTTTAAAAAAGGAAATCTCAGTCTATTTTTAGCAAATCATAAACTTTCTTTGTATTAATCGCACAAAAAAAATTTCTAAAACGAATATCAATTATTGTTAATTTATCTGCGATTTAAATTTATTTCTGCTATATTATTTGTATGTTTTCAATCTAATATTGTTTTTTAATTTTAGAAGTTTCTTAGTTTAACAAAATATATAAAAGAATTTTATGTTAATATGTGCATTATTTTTTATTTCAATTTCATATTAAAGATTTTCTTGTAACAAAATTAATACACAAACAACACGTAATAATTAAATATTTTGAAGGAATAATTTTTTTTACTGATAAATTTTACATCGAAATTGTGAAAGAAAAACAAAAAAATTTTTATTAGACGTTGCTTTTAATCATCTTAAACACTAACCTTTTGTAATGATATTCTTCCGTTCTATATATAACGTATTTTTTAAGATATATTCTTTTAATTTAATTGTGATTGAGCTTTATATCATATGATTACAATACTTGAACAACTCTTTAAATTTTCGCGTCCGATATCGAACAATACTGAACAATCGGAACTAATGCATATGATAACTGTAATCTGCGCGCGCACATGTAAAAGAACGACCAAATTCAAATCGATTTAGCGATTATCGTCTGAGATATAGAATTGACATGAAAAGAATGGTTTCGTAAAAAAAAAAATGTAAATGCTCTAAAATAAGGGCCTATTACCGCCGTCTCCGATTTAATTCGTTGATCCATGACAAACTAGAATCTTCTTTTCTTTTCTTTTTATAAATTAAACAATAAAAAAGATAAAATTGAAATACAACCGTATATTGTATTACTATATTATGTTCGTATATAATGAAGAATAAAAATTAAATTTCGTATATCTTTAGATTTTGTATGATATTCACTTTAAAAAAAGGTTATGCTAAAGATAAAGATATATATATATATATTATATATTATATATCTATGAAATACGTGTAATGACAATTGATTCGCCGATCTCGTGCAAAGATGATTGACAAACGACAAAAATATTGTAGCGGCACTGATCATCGAATCATCTTTTTGTATGAAAATAAAAAGAAATTGTAAAGCGATATCGGTAACGGTGCACTTGATGTGAAAGGAAATACACAACACAATAATGAGCCACGAGCAATTTTATTTTCCTTCTTGCCCCTTCCTTTTATCAACATAACCGTAGGTTATAATTTAATATAACAACGTATTTACAGTATATTTTTTTAATATTTATCTGATAAAAATCTGAAAATCAAAATCTAAATTTATATTTCATGGTAACTCACAAATTTAAAACAAAAATAAAAAACAAAAATAGAATTCTAATGATTAATTAAGTATATATTATATATTTATCACACATATAATATTTAATTATTTTTCATTTATTCATGAAGTTTTTTAATTCCGTAAAACAAAATATTGAATTAATACATATTTTTTATTATACATGCAAGTATGTATATTTTTAATTATAAATATAATAGTTAAATATAACTATTAAGAAATAACAGTAAATAATTACATAATGAATATAATTAAAGAAAATTATATGTTATGATCTAACGGTTCTTCGCAGATCTAAATTCAGTGAACTGCAATTCCTTCTTTATATATTGTATGTTATTCAATATATATACCATTCGTATAATATATTGATATGATGATTAATTTTTCTCAATATATTTTTCATGTTTTTAAAAAATGAATCAGATAGAGAAAATAAAATTTTTTAAATTAAAATATTAATATTTGATATTTTATCTTTTATGTCAATTAAAACAAATACTATTAGTACAATTGAAAACTAATGAAAATAGTTTAATGTTTGGTATTTATTTTTATATTTAAACTTTCATGCAAGTTTTTTTTTTTAATGAATAATAGAATAAAATAGTCAGCTAACAGAAGAAAAAATAATTATTCCAGATCTTAGTTACATTTTTATTTTAATTTTATTTAATTTAATGTCATTTTATAATTTATATCAAAAAAAATAAAAATAAAAGTTTCTAAATCATCATCGTATTTAATCTTGTAGTATATTTTCAATTGATTATTGCACTTATTGTTTCCATTTTTTTTATGAATCATATAATAATCGTTCGTCTTGTTCAACTTTTATACAAATTACGATCAAATTGATCGAAATACAAAATGAACACTACGATTAAGATTATAATATTAACCATGCGTTGAAATCTCCAAAGTTATTATGTATTCGTGTTTAAATAATGAATTATTCAAAAAACAATAGTCTTAGAGAGGATTCTCAAATAATCTTTTTTTTTTTCTTTAAGATTATACAAATTATATATTATTTGATATTTCAAAAATATAATTGCAGAAATATACATTTTTTTTTAAAAATATTCTGGAAATTGTAGAATATATTATAATAATTTAATAATTAGAAATATATCAAAAGAAAATATTAATTTTATCATTTATATTTGCATTTATTTAATTAATTTTATTTATTTACATTTATTTAATTTTATATGGGATTCTTGTATAACCAACCATGAAAACTTGGTGGGGAATAAATTGATCGAGGATATTCATACAGTCTATCCCTGCTAGTACAATTGCGAACATACAACCGCGAGTATTCATTATATATATTCATAATATGGTATTTTATAAATATAAAGGAAAAAAGAAATCATCGAATATAATCGAAAATTTAATGAACAAAAAATAACGAGTTAAAATTAGTGATTAGTTACTATAATAATAAGATAAAACGTTTTTGTCAAATAGAAAATTAATACATATTACAATAATAATAAAGTTAGTTAATAAGTTATAAATTATAAAACTATTCAGTTTTTTACATTTTATTGAGAATATTGAAAATATTTCGTAATAAAGATATAGCAAAATTATTAGAAGGAAAATGCATTTATCATTAATGGACAAATATATTTATATAGAATAAGAATATATAAAATGATATATCAAATAAATACAAAGAAAATAATGAAGTTAATTTATCTTATTTTAATATTTTTCAATTCTATTAGAAATATAAAAACAAATGATGAATCGAGTGGAGAATATCTTCAAAATGTGATGCTTCAACTTCAAGAATTTAATGTTCCTTCTTCTATCAATAATTACGATCGATTATCATCAAATAATGATTATAAAAATGTAATTTATATGAATGAAGATCAACAAAATCATAAAATTCAAAAAATTAATATGAACATACAGCGAAATATGCAAAAACATCAAAATCATAGTTTTCAACAATATGATATTTTTTTTAATAAAAAGATTGATTTAGATGTTCCGCATTATTATGAGGTAAATAAATAATTTTTTTAATCATATTTTATTAATCATATATATTTATATTATTTATCAATAAAATCACTAAAAAATTATCTATCTCTGATTTTTCAGTCTCACGTTCCTATCATTACTAAAGTACGAGAACCAGAAATACTTGGATTTACAAAAACAGAATTGGCAGCTATGTATAAGAACGCATTAGAAAAAGGATCAACAATCAATTTATCTTCATTAACTAATGCACTCTCTTCTGGTGAAGTACCTCAAATTAGTCAAACTCATGTAGAGTTTCCGGTCAAGCAGCCTCTCTATGAATATTATTTTTTTCCATTAAAAACTTTCATATCAGAATTCAAAAAAAATCACGGTTATAAAACAATTGTAAGTAAACTTCTATAATTTCTTAATATTTTCTTATTTTATTTGCAAATAGTTAATTCATTTAATTAAAAAAAAAAAATAAAAAGTATTATATTATTATTTTAATCTCTTCATTATGACATTTCTACCATTCTTTCTAGTCTATTCCTGCATTTGACAATACGAAAGTTGCACAAACCCAAACGCAATTATCAAATCCTCTCATTGTAGCCATAAGCACTTTTGTTACTATAGCAATTGTATTTATGATAAGCATTCTATTCTTACCGAAATTTACTCAATTTGATGTACTTCCCGAGCGAAATATTCAAGAAGATTTCTTTTATCTGACAAATATAATTATGAATGCTACTGAACGTAACAATTTTTTAGATAAATTTATAAGTCATTATATAAATTCTGTTAAATAGTTTATAATAAAAATAATGCAATAATAAGATAAATATATAATAATTAAATAAATTTATAATAAATTTATTATATATAAGAAAACAAATGTAAACTTAATTTGTAAAAAAATGCTATATTATTTTAGATTATATTTTATATTTTAAATTATATTAGCTATTAATTATTATATTAATTATATTAATATAATAATTATATTATTATTAAATTATAATATATAAAATAAAATAAAACTAAACAATGAGACAAAATATATTCATAACATCTATTTAATTATATCATTTGTTATCAGTTAGATAAATTTAACAAAAACAACATTGAGCTAAACAAAACAATTCTTAATCAATAACATTATATAATATTTCTAATTTTGTTCTTAAAAAATGTTTTACAATTATTTATTTTTGTACATAAATATTAATAAAATTATGTGTAGTATGTATATAACTAAAGATATACTCGAAATAATACAACATTAAACATCTACAATATTATAAAAATCTATAAATATTGTGCATCTTTGCAATTCTAATTACAATAGAGAAAATAGGAATAAGTTATTTTGTGTGATCTATTTGAGGAATGTGTGTGTATGTAATTACATTCAAAAATTACTTAAATTTGTAAAAAAGATGTTTTCAAAGGTACTTTTCAAACTTTCCTGTATGTATGTCTATGTATTATAAAAGTATAGTTGAATATATTTTATGATCTGTACAATATGAAATATACATAAAAAGGAAGGCACACTTTGGAATAATACCTGTAAGCTCATTATTCATTTTACATGTTGTCTATTTCTTTTTCTTCTTCTTTCTTTCTTTTTTTTTTTTTTATCAATCTGTCCGATTAACAGTAGAAAGAGATGTTTGTTCTGTTGCTTTCCGCTTTAACATTACTTGACGTTGATGTTCGTATTCAAAATCTTCTTCAGTTATATTTAATTTTCGAATCTATGATATTGAATTTATAATAAAATATATATATATATACAGAAAAAAAAACGAAATATTCTACCTGATGAACTAAAGCTTCTTCTTCCATAATATGTTGAGGAGGATTTCTTAATACTTGAAGAGTTTCATAAACTGTTGGACAATGTTTAGTAAGAGATGTACGACCTAAGCTGCCTTTTAATAAAACTAGTCCAACTTTAAAGATAATTTTAACACCTTCACAAAGGAACATATCCCATACTCGTAAAATACTTTCCCAAGGTAGTGTTCGTGTATAAACACATAAGAACCATTCAGTCATGTATAAAATTGGTTCCATTTTTTGTTTCTTCTAAAATGATTATCAAAAATATAGATATATTTTAATTTCTAATTATAAAACAATGTATAAAATGTATAATATACTAACTAGATGTTTGTAAGCAATAGGAGATACTCTTTTTAGAAGAGCAAATAAAATATCTCCATCTCGTAACAATGTTTCCATTCCTTGACTATAATACCCAATCAAATACTTGTCACATATTGCAACAAGGCACCAAAATGCTTGTACTGCTGGCATATGCATTAATAAAAATGCTGCAATAGGTGCTTGGGCTTGACAGTAACCAACTTTACTATTTAAAATAGAATAAGCTTTCAATACTTTAAATAATTCTTCTTGCCCAGGAGCTTCTCCAATAAACATTATATGATGTGGAAATTGGCGATGAAGATCCTTCTTAATATCATCTATATATTTTGGATCACCAGATCGTTCCACCAATTCTTCAAATAAATTTGGATTCGTATCCATTAACAATTGACCTCCACAAAGATTTAGCCATGCACGAAGCCTTACTGAAGGTGGAATACCCTTTCTGCATCTTTCTCTGACTTTACGATAATTTGTATTCATAAAATAACTCCAATTATTTAACATTTGTATCCATTTTCGTTCTCTTCTTAGCATTACCTCTGGTGGTAAACCTTGTTTACTGAGACTAATATTGTAAATATTAAACATATTTTGATATAAATCATATGAATATTTTCAAATATCTCAATTATTATATTAATATATATATTATATATATATATATATTTTTATATATTACCTATCAGAGCTACAATTGGAATCTTGAAGAAAACCATGTCGATCAATTTTAGATCCTTCAAACTTATCACTTTCAGTTTCTGCATCCCCATTATGTGATCCTGAGGACGCCATAGCATTTTTCTAATTGTCTAAAATAAAATATTTAAGAATTTTTACAATATACAATATGTTATTATTTTTAAAAAATTATATTTTAATTAAAAAAATTTAATTTATTATACATAAATATATATTGCTTAAACATTTTTATTTCTAAATATATATATGAAATTTTATGTATCAAATAGTATTCAATATTATTATTAATATAATTATATATTTAAAAATAATAAATAAAAAATAAATAATTATATTAAAATATTAATTATTATGCATCACATTTTAAAATTTATTATAAATATTTTATCAAATATTTTCAAATATATGTTTTGTACATAAAATAAATGTCAATAATTATTAATATTTTTTTCACTTACGACATTAAAACCAAATAAAAAAAGAAAACATCTCAATGCTTTTTAGAATTGACAGTTGACAGTTAGATCAACGAGTTCCGAAAAAATAACACAATACACAATCATAGTTTAAGATATCAATACTTCACTTATGTTGCACAATAAAGTAGTATTTTGTAACGCCCAAAATGCTTGTATAACGAATTATAATCATTTATACGTGTCAAGTATCTTGTTTCCACTTGATAACTAATATAAACACATTATCATATATATATATATATATATATATATATATATATATTCACATAATTATTTATTTTTACATTATCACATTATAAAAAATGAAACAAATCGAGTGAATTAACATTACTTACCATCGATGATGCATAAAAGTGTGATATATAAAATCTCGAAAGAATATATTATGCATCACTCTAAATTATCGATATTTTACTTTTGTCATATACGTCAATTATAATCTATATATATACATATATATATATATATCAGTTAAAATTGATTATTATATATACATATTACAGCAAATATATCGAGGTTTTTTTATTTTTAAATGTAACTATCATATACTTTATATTAATTGGATAGTTCCGTTCATTTATTTACAGTTATCCAATAGTAAAAAAGAATTAAAAGCTATGAAACTATATCTTAAATAGCATAATGAATGTAATTATAAATATAGATATAGTTAAAATCTCATCTCTTATTAAAAAAAATTTACTAGAACAAAAAAAAATAAAATTTAAATAATTTTAGAATAATAATAAATAATTAAAAAATGAAACATTTTTGAGTTTAAGTTATTATATATATGTATAAATATTTATATTTTCAATCTTGCATAAATTTTTTAAGAAAACAAGATGAATTTGATTGAAAAATTATTTTGACAATTACATTTACAATTATATTATAATTATAATATATATATATATATATATATATAAAATATATTAATATATCTTCTTAGTAATAAAAATTCTTATTTAGTAAAGATTTAGATTTTATATTTAATCACACAATTTAAAAAAATTTCATAAATACTTTAAATCATTTTTTAACAATATACATAATAAATCAATGAACTTTACCAAAGTAATGAATGATTGAATTTAAATATTTTTTAAAATTGTGTTGAAAGAAACAGCATCATGTCAGAAGGAACAAAAAGTATTCCTATTAATATGTTAACGTAAGTTTTTAATAATATAAATTTAATTATTTTTTTAATAATTTCTTTTATATAAGGTTAATGTAATATTTTTTTACAAATTGATATCTTTCAGGGCAGAGGAATTGTTAGAAAATAAAGGTTTGAAATATAATGCATGGAATGAATATGAAAAATCAGTTAAAACTCTTCCAAAGTCTGAAATGAAACAATTTGAACCAAATAATTCTTGGCTTCAAAATATGCAAATTGAAAAGGGTATTATAACTAGAAAAAATTTAATAGCCATAGAAAGAGTAGATCGTATTTCTCAATTAGCTAGTGCAGAATGGTTACCTGCACAAAAAAGGGCGAAAGTAAAAAAATATTCTGGTCAAGATTGGAGTAGTTTTGGTTTGGAAAAAAGTGGTACTTTGTATTTAATACCAGAAGAAGCATTATTTCTTTTAGAAACTGTATGTTATTTCAAAATAATTATTTTTATAAAATAATATTTACAAAAATTATTTTCAAACACAATAAAAAAAGTAAAACATTATTCTATTTTAGAATTGTTTAGAACTTACATGGAATGATGTATCATTATCTATTCAACAAGCCTATGAACTTTTAATTGATAATGTTGAATGTTCATTGGAAGAATATAGAGTTTATAGTCAATTGATACGACATGGTTATCGTATACAACGTTTTGTTTATAATTCAGAAAAGAATGCAAAAAGTGATGAAAATTCTGGTAAAAAACGTAAAGTTATTGTAGAACCTGAAAATGGTCTTTGGATGACTGATATTCAAGAACAAAATAAAGATTGTATAAATATACATAATAGTAAAAAATCTGTTAATTATACAAAAGAAACTGATACAAATATTAACAATTTTTCCATAAAAATTTGTCAAGATACAACAGAAGATAAAAATATATTAAATAGTGTCTATGAAGTTATAGAAAATCTTCTTTGTTCAGTAGAAAATATTGAAACTCAATCTACAAATTTTGAATATCAAAACAATACAAAAAAAGAAAAAAAGTTGGATACTAATTTAAATATAAATGAAGATAAAAAGAAACAAAAATCCAAAGTAGAAATTATATCAGATGAGACTTTATTAAGTAATATCAGAATTGTTACAAATCACATGAATGATTATATTAAAAGAAATAATGTATCAACAAATTGGCGAGCATCGCGTATACAACGCAATGTTAAATTAGTACCTAGAAGAACAGATAAATTATCAACTACTGATATTTTAGATCCTAATATTAAAAATTCTGAATGTTATTCAAAAAAACATAAATTTAAGAAATCAAAACACGAGGTATAATGATATTTATAATTGTTAATATTGTATAATATTAATAATATTAATAATATTATATAATATTAAAATATTAATGTTAAGAAAATTTATAATTTTTTTTTAATTTAAGGTGATAGAATTATCTGATGATGAAATCCAAGAGATACCAAAACCAATTACACGAATGGATTTATTAAATTTAATTCCAAATATTGCATTTCAATCAGTGATTACAATAAAAATATCAAGAGGTTACATACCACATAATATTAAACCTCTTAAAACAATTTACCATTATGAAAGTGAAAAATTAAAAAATTTACAACAAGTAGATAAAAAATTGCGATCTAATCAAAATTTAATATATAATAATGCAAATAATAATGCAATTCAAAATGTACATCAATACAATATTTCTATAAGTAACAACAGTAATAAAAGAAATATATTAGATCATAACTTAGAAACAAATGTACGCAATGTTATCATGCAAAATTATTTTTCTATGCAACATGAACACTATACAAATTTTAGTCCTAATTATATATATAATAAATCGCCTTATACATATAGTAGAAATCTATATTGGCGAAATGCATATCAAAATGTATTTGTTGCTCTTGATAATCATAATACAGCTGTTCATCATAACAGATTTACATCAATGCAAATGAATAATTTATTAATACCAAATATGAGTAATAACGTAATTAGAGATTTTTTTACTCAAAACCAGTTTTATCACAATTATCATCAAAATTTCTTACCATTAAGAAAATTGTATCATCAAAGAATTATAGAAAATACATCGATACGCTGTAGCATAGCTGGAAATCTATCAGTTTCAGATTCATGTCAGAGAAATTGGTCACAAAATCACCATAAAAATACAAATATAATATCAAATTCTAATGATGAAGTCTATCAATCATCATTTAAAACATTACCAGGAACATCATCATGGTTAGAATTAAAAAATAAATGGCTTGAAATAAAAACAATCACTATTGAAGATGAAGATATAGGAAAGGAAATAATTGAAGATTGCAATGAAATACAAGTAGTTAGACAATTACGCAGTCCTCTTGTTGGATCAAAAAATGCAAATAGTCTTGAAGAAGTTTTTAATAAACTTAAAATAATTAAGTCTGCACCAGAAAAAATTGTAAGAAAAAAGAAAAATAAATATAAAATTTCATACAATGTTTATTCTAATACACAAACTTATAGAAAAGCAAATCCTGGTCTTCCACATTATAGAATAATTGTAATAAGGTAATTTATTTTTATTAGACTTTTTATATATACAATGAATATATTTATTAAAATTTATTAAAAGTTCATTTATAAAATTTAATCATGTTTTGTTTTTTGTTTTAGACAAGATGATTCATTTATACAACCAATTGAATTGCACCGTTTAATGCAAGATGCAGAAAATGTACCAATATTATTGGCATGTGTTTCTATGTCAATTTCATATATTCAACCAGGATATATATCTATACCTAATTTAACATAATTAAAATAAAATATTTCAATATGCAATATATAATTAGGTAATATTTAATCTTTTTTTTCTATTTATTTTTATATAAAATAAAAATAATTAAAAAATATATTATATATACAAAACAAAAGAGAGTTAATTAACTTAATCAATTACCATTTATGTTAATATATTAAAAAATATTTACTTTGTAATAATAATTGATATTTTACAAACCTTATTTATAAATTTTATATTTATTTATATTTAAAATAAAATTTTCAGGTAATATATTAAATAATACATAAATCATATATATTTCATACTTTATTATAAAGATTTCAAACAACATTTCACGTTGTAGAAATTATTTTTAGTTTATTTTTTATATTAAATCTTCTTAATAATCATAAAATTATTTTCGATCTATAACTGGTTCTATAGTTTGTCCACCACAAATTTGACCCCAACCAATTAAACGCCAATGTTTTTCAACACGACGTGATAATGCAATTTTTTCGTCAATTTCTGTACACACAGGATTCGTTAAACTAATTTTAGCTAAGTCAGCACGCGTAGCTAATACACGACCTCCAGTACTTAATGATCCAATATTTACTAATAGAACTTCATTTCTCGATAATTTTGGTACCTATTATCAAATATTTCATAATTATAAAAAAAATATTTTAATATAATATTTTTATTATATTATTTATTTTATAATTATTACCCTTGCTCCTTTCTTATCACCCTCAGTTCTCACTCCTAACAATCGTTTAAGAAGATAATATGATATTTCAAGTTCAATAAAAATTTTAGGTAGAGCTCCTACAGCTCCTAAAATTTGACCCACTAAACGATCAGCTCGACATAATGTTGGTTCAATTTTTGTTCCGACACCTTAAAATTTATCGTTTATATATTATCAATTATTTTTAATTTTATATATATTCTTCAAATATATTTTTTTTATTATTCAATATTTAAATTTATTTACCAATAAGACCACCAGGAACAGCAAATTGAAGTTCATTCTGTTCAGCAAACAATGATACTATCCGTGAAAAAATAGGTCGACAAGTCAATTTTCCTTCACTATCTTTAGATACTAATCCAGGGCGGACTTCAATTTCCATACCCACCTAAAAAATAGAAATAAATGAAATTATATTTATATAGTAAGTAAAACTAAAAAATTATTTATAACATACTTTTAATACTCCTCTTAAAATACTTCCTCCAGCAACACCACCTTTCAAATCATCTACTTCACAACCAGGCTTATTTACGTCAAATGATCGAATTACAATTAATCTCGGTTCTGAAGTGAAATCTCTTAAAGGTACTGGAATTTTCTTTGTAATATATTCACACAAGACTTCAATATTATATTTAAGTTGTGCAGAAATTGGTATTACAGGTGCTCCTTCAGCTACTGTACCTAATTTAAAAAAAAAAACTTATTTAATAACATAACATAAAATAAAAATATTATTTAAAATTAGATATTAAAAAATATTTAAAAAATATTTAAAAATATTATTGAAATGGAAATACCTTGTACAAATTTTAAAATTTGTTCATATTGCTCTTTTGCTTGAGCTTCCTTTACTAAATCTATTTTATTTTGTAAAATTACAATATGTTTTAGTTTCATAATTTCAATAGCAGCCAAATGTTCTGATGTTTGAGGCTGAGGACATGATTCATTGCCAGCTATAAATATATTTATTGATTTTAATGTCTTAAATAATTATTAATAAATGTAAGTATAATGTAATAGAATTTTAATTATGTACCAATTAAAAGTAATGCCGCATCCATGACAGCTGCTCCATTCAACATAGTTGCCATAAGAATATCATGACCTGGACAATCAACAAAGGATACATGACGTACGAGTTGAAATCGTCCAGAACAAACTGGACGTAAACAAGGAAACGAATCATCTTTGCTTGATCCTCCAGATATATAACATCCTGGTCTTGGACATTTTTCATTATCACATTTATAAATTTTTGCATTTGCATATCCTGAAACAAGTAAATTAAAAAAAATCGATATTACTTTAGATTTAAAATACTTTTGTTTAATTTTATTTTAATAAATTTTTTTCTTTTTTTTATTATTATTATTAATGAATAAATAAAATTAGAAGAATTAAAATTAATCACTAGAATTAATCATAAGAAATAAATATAAATTAATTGTTGATATAATAATATACATTTATTATTTATTTATATTCAAAAAAACATTTTTTCCTATGCATATTTTTAAACGATTTAAAACCGTTTAGAACTTAATTAAAGTACAAAATATTAATAGAACAATTAAAATTTATTTAATATCAAAATATGAATAAAATTAATTTAATATATTAATTTTTTTTTATAAAAAAATATAACATCTTTAAAAATTACTTTCTTGTTCTTGTTCTCTTAATATAATATATTAATATATTCTTAGTTCTTAATATATTTTTAATATATTATTTTAAATATATTTTTAATATATTTTTAATATATATTTTAAATAATATAAATCATATATTAAATATTTATGATTTTAATTATTAATATATTAAAGATTCTGCTTTCAAGTGCTTTTATAAGTATATATATATATATATGTACACATATATATATATATATATTTCAATTATATATATAAATTGAAATTTATGAATATATATATTTATATATATGAAATTTATTAATTAGAATTAAAAATTATTACAAAAACACAAAATAAAATTATATTAAAATATCTTATTAAATATTATATATTATAAATAATTTGTATAATTTAATCATGTGAATTAAGGAAAAAATTATATGCTATATTTAGCAAAATGATATTTTTAATATATTATTATAGTTTCACAGAAACATTGTAAATAATTACATATAAAATATGTGAAAAATAAAATTGATAACTTTGATACAAAAGCTATATTAATGATGATATATAATGATATATAACATTATTGAAATTCATGATTTATATGTAATTTCATACATATTTAGAAGATAGTGTGTAAATATATTAATGCAATTTATTTTATTGCTACAATATTAAATTGCTATGACAACGTTTTTAAACTATAAGTATATAACCATATAACAGAAATAATTATCCTTTAATTTTAACTAATATTTTCTTAATAAATAGTGTGAATGTTCATATTAAAGTTAAACATATTTGATTATAAAAAATTTTATATTGATAATAACAGATATATTGTAATGTTGAGTTTATGACAACATTTATGAATATGTAAACCAATATTATTTTCATTATTTTAAACTTTTTTAAATTCGTATCAATAAGAAAAATATTAACGTATAAAGTATAACACATATATAATTACTTCTAATAAATACATATAAAATTGTAAAAATTATATTCTCAATAATAATTTGTTAAATATTTAAAATTTTTTTTAAATAATTATATAATCTATAAATATATACTGTTCAATCATAAAATACAGAAATAATCATTAACAAAATTAAATTTAATTCTAGTAAAGTAATTTTTCATTTGTCTACATCATTTTTCCGAAGATTATTAAAATAATTAAAACTATTTGCTTATACAATTTTACTTAAATATTAATACAATAAATTTATAAAAAAAAAAAAAACTTAAAATAAATATCGTCTACAATTCTGAGCATCGCATTTGCATAAAGTTTTATTGTTCGATGAGTCGGATTCTGATGTCTCTGAGCATAATTGTACATTTTCTTGAAATTCTGGATATACATTCAAATTTTCTTTCATTGATGCACGTTGCATTATAGAGTTTTCGCTATTTTTTGACGATTGACACATGTAATCGAATGTAATTTCTTCGTTTTGTTTAATATCTTTCGTTGCAAACAATGCAAGTTTAGGAAGATTTGGATCAAGACAATTAATCCAAACACCATAAACTGCTAAGTTTGGATCACAAGAATGATTAATGAAATGAGAAATATTACCATATATAGCAGCATCAACAGTATATGGACACTGTTCTTCAGATTCATTATAATCAAGATCAAATAAATATGTTCTACCAGCGGCATCATATTCTTTACCGCGCTTTTCAGCTTCTTCATTTGTTATTACTTCTCCTACATATTGTGTAACAAAACTCCCTTTTTTAATCGCTTTAATAGTCTTCACACCCCATCCTCGTCCATTGGCAGTTCTGAAAATGCAGAATTGCATCTTGGTGCCACGCTGCACTACTCGATTAATGCAATCTATATCACAATTGCATCGTTTATTACATTCATATATCGGTGTTCCAGGTGGAACTCGAATCTTATGTTTCAAAGTGTATGGACATAATCCATCATCCTGAGCAAAACAACACTTTGTTTTGGAATTACAAGTTTTGCATTCACAACCAATAGGTGGATCATCAGGTATTATGACTCCATTACCAGGTAGATATTCTTCTATATAATAAAAATTTTGAGGTGCTCCTTCCAAATCTATTATATTCTCTACTCGTATTAATGGTTTACCTTTAGTAATAATATTCATTTCATTTTCCCAATCTTCTAAAGATTTTAACTGTTTCTTCCTTAAATCAATAATTAACATACGAAGAATATCATGTTTTATAACTTTTTCCAATTTACTATTTTTGACATATTTTTGTTTCAAAAATTTGAGTATACTAATGAACATTGTATTTGATTCAACTGAAATTGATGTTAATGTCTTTCCTCCACGCTTAAGATAATTTAAGAATTCTTCAATATCTTGATTATTTGGATAAAAATTTACTTTTCGTTTAAAACTTTCAAGTAATTGTAATCTATTTCTCTCAAATTCTTCTAAAATATCTGAACAATTTATTAAATTTGATACAGGTTCCCAAGTATTATATTTTAAATCCCAATTTTTCCATTTGATTAAATAAGTTGGCACACCTTTTATTTCTTTCTTTGCAAGAATTTTTTCTACTTCCCAAATATCAGTTTCTGATAATAATGTTTTCATTCCACTTTTAGTATTATGTTTTGTATTCATATGTTTTATATCTTCTAATATAATTCTAAGCTCTTTCAATTTAACATTTCCTAAATTGCAAAATATTTTATATTTTTCAATATCACTATCAGTACATGATTTGTTTTCTGCATTTTCCATGCTAACTTCTTGATTATCCAAATAGTCCGAATTTTTTCTGTTAATTGTTCGTTCTTCTTCTTTGTTTTGTTTAAAAAAAACATCACTATTACTGGAATTGCTGCTCTTTGATTTACCATAGAAATAATTATCATTATAATTATTTTTTTGAGGAAAAATAAATTTTTGATCAAGCTTCTGATGTTTAGTTGGTTGAACATATCCTGGAGAAGCTGGTCTCTTTCCTCGTGTAGACATTTTGCTTGTGTAGCCAAGATTTGCTTCTTGTTCCCCTCTGGTACTGTCCTCTGCACGAGTGTCTGTAATGCCAAACATTTAAAGGATGTCATTCCCTCCAGTCACATTTTTCCATATTTTGTTTAACTTGTAACCATTTCTCCCCTTTTTCTTAGTATTAATGTTATCACCTTCTACATCAAAAATCCCTTGAATCCTCTTCATTCTTCTCATTCATTTATTGAAAAATATATTTGATGCTATTACGAAGAAATTAATATGATTTATATATAGAAATATTTTATAAAAAAATATGCCATATATAATAATATTTTTATACATATGATATAGAAATATGAATGATATTACTTGAAATTTCTATTTGATTAAATACAATAATGTTCACTTTTAATTTTTATATTATAATATAAATATAATAAAATAAAATCATAGTTATTTTTCTAAAACATATATAAATTGATTAATTAAAGCATACCTTAATGCTAATTTAAAATTACTTTTATAATTAAAATTATAAAATTATCAAAATATGATTGTTTAAAAATAAGTTATTAAACTTTATAACTTACTTTATCCATGATTAACTAAATTATGTATTATATATTATGTATCATTTTAATAAATAAAATATGCATTAATTTTTAAATAATTATTATTTTTATTGCATAAATACATAATATATATAAATAAATTTATAATACATTCATACATATAAACATTCATACATACATATATACATATATAATACATATTATAATAATTTCACATTTTATTTAACATTTACAATAATTATACACATTAAATAATAATAGACATTATATATTATTATAATAATTATATAAATATAAATATATATATTAAATATATATTATTGTATTAAATAATACAAACATTTATATTATATATATATATTACAAAAATTTTATTAATTAAAAATATAATTAGTATAATTATACTTACCTTAATTATATTTCACCATATAATATAAAAAAAAAATATATATACACGTATTATGTCTTACATAAAATTAAATTTATTAAAACAATAGTTTATTAAAATATATATTTATATATATTTGTAACATTTTTAATCAATTTATTAAGGTATGCTTTAATCAATAACAATAATTTTAATATTTTAAATATATAAAATTATTTTATTTTGAAATATGTAAAATAATTTAATTACTATATATATTTTATTTTTTATGAATGAAAAATGTATTCAAATCACTTATATATCAAATTAAATATGAATAAAACAATATAAATACAATACAATAGCAATAATATATATAAATAAATAAATATTGTTTTATATTACTATATCAATATTTTGATATGCATTATTATTCTATAAGTGTTACTAAATTTAATATTTCATAAATTTTTTTTATATTTTAATATTAATATTTTTATATTAATTATGAGTATAATTTTAATAAATAATTATGCTCTGAAATTATTAAATAAAAAGTAAAATTATTTTCTTTTAGAGAGAATATGCAATAATGAATAAATAATGAATACAAATTAGGAAATAATTTGAAAAAATAAGAGAACTATTTTATTATTATTATTTATATTTAAATAAATAAAAATTAATATTTAAAATAATTACATAATGCTATAAATAAACTAACATTTTTGAAAATGTCAATTATAAAATATTTTCGATCCCGCGACTTGAAAGTGTTTTATGAAATGGCGACAACTTCATATATTTAACGCCATCTATGTAATAAACGATGAAAATAGCTCTTTTTAAAATGAAAATAGTTTTATGTAAAAAAATTCATTAAACGTTTAAAATAATCCTAAATGAAATTTATTTTTATATTAAATCACTAATCGTTCATTTATTTGTTTTAACCTTTATAATTTAAAAATTTACTAATTATATTTTATTTTTAACTATTTTCTTTGAAAAATTCTTTTAATTTTCCTAGATTATTTTAATGAGTGTTTATACTATAGTATTACATTATAGAAATAAGAACAAATGGCAAGGACAAAAAAATGTTTATCTGCAAACTTATATATCAACTGATATTTTGAAAAAGTAATACATATAATAAATAATATGTAATATGTAATATGTAATATAATAAATAATATAGTAGTATAATAATAGTAATAGTATAATAATAGTATATATAATACTAATATAATATAATAATAATATTATATTATAAGAGTAATATATAATAATAGTATAATATGTATAATAATAATTGACTTTATAATTTTCATTATTTCATCCCTTCATATCTTATTCTTATTACAGTTACAGTTTGTTACAGTTATTATATTTATTATTTTTAAATTATTATAATTTTTTTAAATTTTGATAATATATTATATTGAATAATAAGACAAAAATGAAAAAAAATTTGTGCAACAATCTTAAATCTTACTTGTGCAGCAATAATAAGAAACATGCAAAATGAAATCCATAAAAATGTTGCAAATCATATTAGCTTTATATAAATTATTTCTACTTACCAAGTTTAATAGTAATATTCCTTTCTAATTCATTTTTAAAACGAACAGTCTGTACTCCCGATATAGCTTTTACAATTGTAGATTTTCCATGTGCTACATGGCCAATGGTACCTACAGAAGATTTCAAATTTTTATTTTGTAATATATTGCTTTTTAACTTTATATTTATATATATAATTATATATCATTTTAATGATATTTATATATTATTAAAATAATAAAGAAATTATATTTACCAATATTAATTGTTGCTTGTCTGCTGATAACTTCACGGGATAATGCAGTTAATTTACTAACATCCTAAAAAAAAAGTTTTATAAATTTATATATTAAGATAATAAAATAATTTTTATAATTGAAATTATCGAAACAAAAAATTTAAAAAATTAAAATAAAAGAAATTATATTTTATTTTAATATCAAATAAATTTATAACAACATTATATAAAATGAATATAACACATTTTAACTTACTCTTAGATATTATAAGAAACTATTATAAAAAAAAAATATCAATGATAAGATATTTATTATTAATTCAGCAATAAATAAAAATATATAACATTATTATGATAATATATATCAAATCTAAATATTATTAATAATTATTGAAATTAAATTACTAATTAATTTATTTAATTAATAATGTTACTAACATTATAATAAAATATAATTTTAAAAAGTATATAATAACATATAATATTTCGAAATTTATTAATAAAAATTTTCATTTAACTCAATGTAAGTAGAAATGATGACAGTATGCTAATACAAAATGAGGTTATATAAAACATTATGAAAACTTTTGCATCATAAAAATATATAAGTATATTTTTTACTTACAAGTTTTGAAAGATCTTGTTTATAAAGATTTGGTTGACCCGTAGTCACTCCTAAACCTTCCTCACCACCCATAATCACTAAATCACTTTTTGTAACACGTAAACCACGCGAGGGATACTTAAAAAAAGGTAATAGCTAATTTGAATATAGATGACTACTAGTTAAAAGAATCAAGAAAGCAGAAGTAGCGCCAAATGAAAATATTTCAAATTAAAGCAATATTTTCAAATTATTTATCTTCTCAATTCTTTATTTATTAATTTTTTTTAAATATTGATTTTAAAATAAATATAATATAAATTTATGTATAAAATAAATATGATAAATTAAAATTTTAATCTAAAATTAAAATTTTAATTATTTTTGATGTACTAATAAAAATACAATATTTTGAATTTTTAAAATAAAAGAGAAAGAATAAATAATCATAAGTTTCATATAAAAATTCTAATCAAAACTTTTGATAGAAATTTTATTATTATAATTACAATTAAATAATAAAACTAATAAATTAAACTTATATTTCGAATAATTATAAACTTTTAATTAAAAATTAATTAAAAGCTGATTTTTAAATTTGCGAAATTCGAATTCAAAATTTTATGAAATTTTAAATCTTTTAAAATTAATCCCGAATATTTAAATTATTATATAATTCTTTCATTAAAATTTTAATTCAAAATTTTAAAAATGTTATTTTTAATAACATAAACCAGGCTTAAGTTTTAGCTTCAAATTTTATTATTTTTTTGTTAGGAATTCTTTCTCCATTATAGTCGCGTAATTATTAGTTTCAAAAATAGTCTTTCTATTTACTATGATATCTAGAAGTATGCTGATTATTTCATTATTATGTTATTAACTTAATTATCTTTATTAAAAAAAAAATTAAAGTTATTTTTTTTTATTTTTGAGTTATTAATTTTTCTTATCCATCAAAATGCTGCAGACTACTATGTACATAACACAAACATATAAAGATATAAGTATAATTAAAAGAAATTTAAATAAATAAACGTCATTTGAATTGAAAATAAGCGAACATTGATCATTGAATTGTAGTTGAATTCTGCTACTTCTACAAGATATTTTTAACGTAATAAATCGAGATAATAATATAATTTTATTTTACACAAATATTTCAAATTCAAAATGGGGGAAAATTTAGAATTTGTGGATTTATTGTATGCAAGACGAAAAGATTGTGATATTTTATGGGTTTCTCGTTCAATGGATCCGTTATTACCACATAAACTTCCACCAGAATCTATATATTCTAGAAATAAAATGATTCAAACAGTTTTAAATAATGAAAAAGTTAAATTAACAATTATTTCTTTGGCTACCGTACTTCAAACAGATATTAAAAAAGTCATCAAAGAAGCTTATGAAATAATAAATGAAATGGCTAGCAAAGCACATTTAACTACTGTTCGTTGGATGGGTAAAATTAAAATTTTTTGAGATCTTATATTTTAATCTTTTAAAGTTATATAAAAACAATATTTAAATTCTAGGTTTAATTATTTCAAAAGTTCTTAAACGAATTTTTGTGAGTATTTATATCAACGAAAATGCAATATACAAAATGAAAAAGGAAATGCAAATTTCTCAAGTACAATATGTTTATGCACCTTCTCACAGAAGTTATTTAGATTTTATATTATTATCATATATTTTATTCTCTTATGATATGGCACTTCCAAATATTGCAAGTGGAATGGATTTTTATCATATGTATATAATAGGAGAATTATTAAGAAAAACAGGAGCTTTTTACATGAGGCGCAGTTTTTCTAATGATTTGTTATACAAAAGAATATTTAGCACATATGTAGCATCTCTAGTAGAACATAGTGACAGAGCAATTGAATTTTTCATTGAAGGTACTCGAAGCAGAAGTTTGAAGAGTATAATACCAAAATTTGGTGTGTTAAAATTAATTTAATAAAAATTTACATGTAATTACATATAATATTTAGTGAGAAAATAACAAAAATTTAATTTTAGGTCTTTTGTCAATTATTTTGGAAAGTTTATTAGAAGGTGGTGTACCTGATATATATTTTATACCTATTAGTATTAACTATGAACGACCACCAGAAGAATTATTGTTTACATATGAACTTTTGGGAGTACCAAAACCAAAAGAATCTACTGCTGGTTTACTTCAATCTTTGTCTATTTTACAGAAATCACATGCTTATGGACGTGTTGTTTTTAATGTTGGTGAACCTATTTCTGCATGCCAATTCTTAAGTATGGAACAACGCAAAACAAAAGTGTTATCACCTCATATAAAATTACCAACATTTGTTACTGAAAATTTGGCATATTGCATAATAGATTCACATAAAAAGAATACAATACTTATGCCTTTTAATTTAATTGCTTTATTATTTAATGAAAAAAGTCAAACAAATCCAGATAATCCATATACATTAAATGACTTAGTCAATGACTATTTATGGTGTAAAAATATTTTAAAAATATTTAATGCTACAGTACATGTAGAAAGGTGAGATTATGAAATATTAATTTTAATAATATATTAATAATAATATTATAATAATAATATTTATAAATATATATTTTATATATATATATATAAAATGATATAATATATATATGATATATATATATCATTTTATAAAATATTATAAAAAAATTTTTATAGATCACTTAATGCAAATGCAAACAACATAAAACAAGAAATATTAGATAGTTTAAAATGTCATGAAGAATTACTTGTATTTGATATATCAAAAACTTTAAGACTTAAAGAGAGATACAGAACAATAAAATTGAAAAATAATATTTATGTTAAAGGCCATACTTTGTCAGAAAAAACTATGAGAATAGCTGTACCAGTTATTAATATTTCAATTTATCTAAATCCAACTTTATCCTTTTTAATAAAACCAGCTATTGTCATTATTGCAATAGGAATAGAGAAAATCGAAATTGGTAATAGTATTTTACATATATAATATATTATATATAAAAAAAATTAAATTTGTATATTATTGTATTGTATATATTGTGTATATCTGTGTATATTGTATTGTGTATAATAATTGTGTATTATTGTATTATATATAGGAATTGCATTTAAACGATATATGTTATTGAGAAAATTATTGAGTACAGAATTTGCAATGCCTTTAATAGAAAATGAATCTGTAATAAAATCTGAATGGAAAGAAACATTAAATTTATTATTAAAACAAAATTATATAAGTATTCAAAATAATATATATGTACAAAAAGAAAATACTAAAGTTTGTTCTCTTCTCTATAATGTAATATTACCATTTATAGATACAATATACATTACATGTCTTGTTCTATTTGAGGTAAAATTTAATATTTTCATGATATTTCATATTTAATTATATATAAGTTTTAAATATATAAGTATATATAAATAATAATTTTTTTCAATTATAGTGGGATGAAACAAAATTAAATTATATAACAATACAATCAGTTTTAATTGAAACACAAAAGCAAATAGAAAGAGCATTTCTTGAAAAACGGCAATGGGGAAAACATCCTTATTCTTTATCAATTGATTTAATTAATACAACAATATCTAATTTTATAATACAAGGTATTATAGTACCATATGAAAAAAAAGGTATATATCAAGTTGAAAAAATTAAAATAATACAAATTCTTACACAATTGCAAAATCTTTCATTAAAACATCCATTAGGTTCATATCTTAATGCAATTTTATTACCTATATTATCACCATCAGTTTCTTCTAAATTATAAAAATAAGATAAATTAAAACAATGTTGAATATATTTTTAAACATTTGAAATTATATAAATAATTACTTTAGATTTTATTATTTAATATAATTAGATACAGATATTTATCTAATTAATGTATACATTTTCATATATTAGATTTTTTTTTTAAATTTAGAAGAAAAATTATGTATATCTTTAAGAATCATTCTTATATCATCGTCTAATTTGCCTACTGATTTTTTTCTTCTACCAAGAAGTAAAGTAGCGCTAGTAGTCGATGCAGAATTATTCATATTTCTAAATAAAAGCTAAAAAAATTATTGTAGAAAATGTAGTAAATGTAATAAAAAATATAATTATTATTTATAATGGTAGATATTATAAATCAATGATTAATTACCATGACCAATCTAACAAGATACACAGCAAATGTAAGAAATGAAATAGCCATAAGTGCACCTTCTATAGATGGAAATCCTGCTGCATGTTCATAATCATAATTGTGATCATATTGATCAGTACCTCTTTTTTTTCGAGCAATTATTGTACTTGCTACAAGTTGAACTTCTAAAAATATTATAAATAAATATTTTATTATTGATATGGATTATTATTATTATTATATAGATTAATTATTGTATTATTATTTTTATATATTACCTATTTCAGAAATTAATGTATTTTCAAATGTCTTCAAAAATTGAATTTTTCCATCATTTGATGCAGGTTGAGATTTTAAAGTACAATGAACATTTTCAAGTATATCCACTGGAAGATAATTCAAAAGTCCTATATCATTTGCAATAAAAATTTTGTCTAAATATTGTTTATTTTCTTTTTTTTCCTAAAAAAAAATAAAACATTAAATTGCTATTATTTCTCATAATTAAATTAAAAATAAAAAATTTTAGATTTAAAATATTTTATTTACTTTGGTTATTAAAGAATCTGTTGTTTCATTTTTGTTAAAATATTTTAAAATTGTAGGTTCTTCTTTGACATTATTTTTTAATTTATAAAAATCATATTCTCCAGTTTTATTAGTTGCCGTTTGCTTTCCTTTTAAATTTTTATAAGTAATATTTTGATATGTATAAAAGAACTGATTTTCCTTTTGAGTAAATTTATAAAACTGATCTTGTCTTAGAGGTATTCTACAAATAATAAATGTAAAATTTCAATAAAAATTTGATTCTAATATATAAATAATCTAATTTAGATTATAAAATAGATTGTTTAATTAATAATGGTTTTATATGTACTTACTTATATACTTTTTCTTCATTAGAAAATTGAGGAATTTCTATCCATTCTGCTAAACTAGTGTTCAATAAAAAAATCTTGAATATTAATATTTTAATTATGAACATTGTAATTATATAAATTATATATTTTTTATAATAATATTTGTATATGTATACATATATGGAATAATATGTGATTTGAATAAAAAAGTGAATAAATATTATCCTTATTTTCAGTTATACAGAGCTACAGATACTAACTAAATATGTACTTGCATTATCATATAGTGTGACAGAAGCCAGGATGTTATTATTTCAAGTAGAGATTCTGTTAGATTAATGAGAACAAAGATTAAATTGACATCAATTTACTAAATATTTCTACAAAATTTTGTATAATTGTATATAAAATTTTTATTTAAAAAAATTTTTTTTATTTTAAGAAAATATATAAATAATTATAAATTCTATTAATTAATTTATTTATTCACATTACCATAGTAAGTACAATAATGAAATAACAATAAGTTTTTATGAAAATTCGTTAATTATACATAAAATCTATAATAATATTACTGTCTTTTTTTAAGTACTTTTGTATGTTAATTATAAATCATATTATAAATTAAGTTTAAAAAAATACATTGTTAGTTTTTATAAAATATAGCGTTTACAAATATTTTTAAGTAATATAAAATTTTAAATAAATTTAATATGTACAAATAATTAATGCAGACAGAATAGAAATATAATATTAGGTATTAAACTATTATCAATCTAATAAAGATAATTTTAAATATAACAATATATATTGATATTGCACAACTCTTTTTATATGTATATAAATGAAAACATGTGGAAACTTTATTATAAAATTATAATAGCAATTATACATATTTTAAATTCATCATCGCAATATTGACTACTTTAATATATTATTTATTTTATTAATATTTTATTAATATTCATAATATATAAATGTTTTAGAAAATAAAAAGATAAAGATAGTAATATATTGTATTTAATACATAATTAAAATATTTTTTAAACTTTTAAATTTTTAAAAAAATATAGGCCATTTGTGTATAATAATGCACTTGATATTAAATTAATTACATGTAAAGAAATATAATCTCAAATAAAATAATTAGATATTTTGGAAATCATATGAGATTCGGTTAATTAACTGATACATAAGTAAAATGGCATCATCTATATTCATACATTATATTTATAATACTTATAAATGAAAAATTATTTGTTTTAAAATACAATATTCCATTTAAAATCATATTACTATTCAAAAACAAGTCAATCATTATAAAAGATTTATCTAAGAAATAAAAAAATTTATTATATATATTTGTTCTTATATTTCTGAATTTAAAAAAAATAATAAATAAAAATAATAAAATAAATAAATAATAATTATTTTTCAATGAAAATTTTCTGATTTTAAATTATTTTTGTTCTACTACTATATATTATTATTATCAGTTTTTATCATCAATAAGAAAAATGGATAAATATTCTAATCAAAAAATAATTTTAAAAAATATGATAATTTTAATATAATGGAGTATTAATTTTTTAAATTTTAATATAAACTAAAAAAAAATATTTTAAATTTTTAATAATTTTTAATAAAGTGTGTATATATATATTAATGATTTTATAAATTTTATTTTATCCTATTAATTATAAAAAACATAATGGAATGAACAATATTTAAAAAGGAAAAAATATAATTTAATTTTTTTTTTCTAATTGGAATGTATTTTTGTTTTAAATAAAATAATAAAAAATAAAACAATATTGCGAATTAATGAAAAAATAATAAATATATTTAAAACTTGAAATTTATTATTATTTCTATTACATATTAATTATCAAGTAGTTTAAAAAAAATTTTGTTTTGCTATTTTCTAATACAAAATTTATCACAATAGTAATTATAATATTGTTATATAGAAATTTTTTTCTAAGTATATATGATAAATTTTAAATTATTTAGAATAGATTTATTTAATTATGAACTTCGTTATTATGATTAATAAAATAAAAAAGAATGTTTATAAAGTTTATTATGATCTATAAGATCAAAAGTCTAAGAAGACTGCATCTGCAATAATCTTACTTTTTATCACATAAAAATCAATAAATTATAGTATATATTTTATTTACGATTTTATAATTTTTATAATTTTTAATTATTTTCATTAAAGTTCTTAAAAGAATTTGACATGAGTTATAGATGTCAAAATTTCTAATTTCTAAATTTAAATGTTTTGAAGCGAAAATACGAAATAATAAATTTATCATAGCATAATATATATTAATTTAATCTATGAAAAACTTGAATTGCTAAGAAATTTCTACAATAATACTCTTAACCATACCCCAAAAATTTATGTATATAAAAGAAGTATACATATATTTTGTAATTCATATATATATGAATTCATTATTCATATTGTAATTCATATATGAATTATGCTATATACTATTTTAATTATTATAATCTTATAATTATTCTATTTTAAACATCTTTTGCAAAGTTATAAAATATTCTATGCATATATTTCTATGTTAAGCTTGAAAATTTATTATTATTTATATTAGCGCTTATATTTCAAAAAAGATTATATATTCAATATATTAGATTGATAAAAACAGCATGAAACAATTATTTATGTTATGATAAGATAAATAATTATCAAAAATGTCATGATTACATTATATCTATTATTTTATGAAATATTTTTCATAATTTATTAATTAAGAGCAAGAAATTTTTATCAAATAATTTATATAATGAAACATGTTTAAATTCATTACTAAAATTTAAGAATGTTCATAAAAAAATTGCTGTTGTTTTCATATATTCATTGAGTATCTTATCTTACGAATGCAGTCTAAGTAATTTTCTACGTAATAATTTTTATTTTCTACGTAAAATATCTTGGAAGATATATAATAGTTTTGTTTAATATCAGTACACTGATATTTATAATGATATAATTGTACTCCCTTTCATGAATTGAATGTATTCAAGTCAGGCACGAATAAAACGTCGTAATGTAGCTCGAGCACTACGTGCCCAGCCTTTATGTATAGACAAATTATTTGGTAATGTTTCGATGTTTAACGAAGGCGGATAATTCTGTCATGTACATTGATTACTATATGCTAACCATCGAGCATCATCACTTTCATGAGTCAAATAACGATATCCGACTTTTGCTTCTAATTCTCGTAAATCACACCATGTTTGATAATCCTTAAAAACATATAATATAAAATAACATAAATATATATTATAATAAAAAATATATATTAAAAAATATATATAAAAATGCTTACCTGAAGCCAGACATGTTGTAAACTTTTATCTACAGTATAACGTTTTCTTTGTTTTACTTGTAATAAATTATTAATTAAATCAATTGCTAAAAAAAAAAGTAAAATAAATTTTATTGATTTTTATTATTGGATAAAAATTAAATAGGATTATTTTATTTATAATTTGTTTACCATCAGGTGAGATTTCCTGCCAAGGAATAGGTGGATACATAAAAGCAGCATTTTGAATCTGTTCGTTAATATCTTCTTCTTCATTAAATGGAAATGTACCACTTAAAGAAACATAAATAATTACACCAACACTCCACATATCTAAAGAACGATTGTAACACTTGTTTCTTAAAACTTCTGGTGCTAAATATGCAGGAGTACCAACAACACTTCTTCTGAAGCTTTTTTCTCCTATAATTCTGGCAAAACCGAAATCGCAAAGTTTCACTTGTGTAAATTCACTATCGCTACTTAGCAACACATTTTCAGGCTTTAAATCACAATGTACAATATTCTTGCTATGTAAATGTTTTAATGCTATTAATATTTGCGTAATTAAGAATTTCGTTACTCTTTCACTAAGACGACCACGTTCTGAACTTAATATCATTTCCAACATATCGCCTTTTAATTTTTCCATAACTACAAATATTCGTTCAGAGGTTTCGAACATTCGTTCTAAATTAACTACTCCGCTATGTGAAAGATTCTGTAGAATTGCAACTTCATTTTTAAGTTGTGCTTCTTGTTTTGTAGGAAAACGTAATTTATCAATAACTTTAATAGCAACTGCTCGGCCACTTTTACGATGAATACCTCCATATACTGTACCAAATTGTCCAGAACCTAAAACTTCGTCAGGAAATATCTCATATAACTGAGACATATCTGTGATATTTTCTTCAGGTTCTGTAGATTGTTCCTGATCTAAAATAATAATATTTTTATATAAAATATATTTTTTGATTTTGATATTAATATAAATTAATTTTTAATATTATATAAGAAATTAATTAAAATAATATTTAATAATATAAATATAATATAAAAAATAAATCACATACTGGTGGATATGGTAGTTACAGGCATTAATGCTTGTCTAATGCTAGTTTCCCATGATCTAGCTATATGTGCTCCAATGCCACTTTCTGGTGGAGGAACTTGGCTACAATTATCTCCATATGAAGAATCTTCTCCAACATAATAATCAATATTGGCAGTTTTTAACTCAAAGCAATGCATTATATCTAAAATGTAATTTTTCATATTATTTTATGATCTTAATAATATTATATTAACTTATAAACTTATAAACTTATAAACTTAAAAAAAAATATTAAATATATACGTGAATGGGATGTTTCAGCATTTTCAATAGATAATATTTCAACCAATGGAATTTCTTTATAATATTTGGAACTATTTTCATTTTGAAATAATGTTATAGCTTTTGTATCAAGTCGCCAATAATGTTTCTTTTTCTGTAAATTTACAATATAAATTTTAATAATCTATCTATATGATAAAATATATCTATATGGTTTTAATCTATGAATTATTTACCATAGGATCACGATTTGTAAAATGTACCATCCAACCTTCTTTCAAAACTTTTGAACCACGACGTTTTGTATGTTTAATACTTTGCACTATGCGCATTAAAGGAATATTATTGCTTGGTGTAGAACTGCAACTAGCATAGTGATGAAATACACACAATAATACATAATACATAAGTTTAAAATATATAAATACATATATATGTATATAATTTAATATATTTTTATAATTTACCTTGATGGTCTGGATTTTTGAAATTCATCATAAATAATATCATCATTGC